TATTTGTTGATATGTATATTTCTGCTTTCATGTTAGATGTTAGATGTTCATTCATTTGAGAGGTGTAATAGCTGGTTTACATCATAATTTTCTTACTTCTTTAAATAAATGTAAGATATATTTTCTTTAACAATTATATATTCCTTTTCTAGACTTGCAACTTAAATTCCAAAACAAGTATTTTAATTCTCCAAAGTTTTTGATTTCAAACTCTTTAGCTAAATTTTCTTAATAATTGTGTTACTTATTCATCATCATCAATGAGAAACATAATATTTACAAGGATTATTAATATCAAGCAACAATTATTTTTCTTTTTCACTAATAAGGTATAATATACATTCCTTTGGTTATTGTCAAATGAGCCATTGTTTTGCAAAGTTGTCTTAACCATGCACCAAGAAATTATTTCAATTCATAAAGTACTTTCTTCATACATCATACTTTACACCTAGTGTTTACACTTAGAGGACCTATATACAATTACCCATATAAGTCTTTATTTAAGAATGTATTTTTAACATCAAGTTGATATGAACTTTAATTAAAATATTATACTAATGAAAATAAAATTTTATTAACTTTCGTTTTGTAATGAGTGTAAAAGATTCATCATCATCCATCCTATATATTTGTGTAAAGTCTTTTGCAATCAAATGAACATTGTGTTGGTTCATAGATGACTGGATAATTCAAGAAGAGGGGGTGAATTAATTTTTGTTTTGAAGTATAATAGCTTTTATTTTGTTTTCTTATTTATATTAACATCACATTTATATCAAAATATTAATACATAAGAATAAAAGAAATATATGAAAGATAATTCATACCAGATTTTAGAGTAGCCTCTTCCACTTTCAACTCCACCTTAATTTCACTATTTCACCCTCGAAATATATTTTATCGTATAGTGATAAAAGAAATATATTTTCAGGCTTTGTGAGCTTGTGACCACTCAACCTAGAACTCTAATCTTATAATTCCTAGGTCATTATATCTCTTTATTATAGGCACACCACAAGTGACTCAATGTAGTATGTGACTACGTTGACAATACACTATAGGTGTCTTAGCTTGTCCACACATCATAAATCAAAATAGAGACATAAAAAAATATGAAATGAGTTTATTGTTGCCCCTAAACCTTCTTTTACATTCACCAAGAGTTATTTAAAGTATTTAAAGAAATCAAGGTGAAAGTAAGTGAAAGGTGATGTTTTGGAGTGTTTGAGAGATGTCATCAACAACTGTTATTTAGAAATCAAGCTTTTATATTTTGTCCTAGTTTAGGTGTAATGACATATTTAAACATAGGTTGGACTACCGCATAATCCAACTAGGCTTCAACAAGATACATTAAACTATTTTTGGCCATCTGTGATGATGTTGTCTTTAGTTTACTTAGAGTCATCTCTTGATTGACATATGTAGTTGGTATAACTCCCAATATGGTGCGTTGATAGATACCTCAACACTCATGGAAAGAGTTGAAACATCGAATTTGAGGCATACTCTATCTTGGGTACTAGAAAGGAGGGAGGTCAAGATCTAGAGAGAATGTCACGCGATTCACCATCATAATGGTGGCAATTGCCACTCGCGAGTAACATGTTTCACCAAACTACTATCTTGAAATTCTCCTTCATACCATGTTTGACTTCATGTCTAACAGATCAAAAAGTGTGAGGAGATAAGGTTAATGACTCACATGACAATAAAAGATTTTAATATTACAAAAATAATTACAACTACTTGAAAATGTACCTTGGAAAAAAACCTTAATTAACACAAAAGGATAAGTTAAACACAATCAATGTAGAAAGAATTAAAAATATTATCATGTAGAACAAAGTACAAATATGAAAGCTGAAAGCAAAGTTGACCCAAGTAGTAAACATATCTCTGTTTTTCCTTCCTAGACAAAAAGTTCTGCATTACCCACAAAATTTTGCATTTCCAAATGGGATCCCAAATAGGAACATAAACACTCATATGGGGAAATTTAATGACAAAAATGCTAGGAAGGAATAGATCAAGAGAAGATTATGAGGCTTTATCTTGAGATGAAAAATAGAGGATAAGAGACAAACTCTTGAAAATTGATGGATTATTCTTGGAGGTTGAGGATTATTCATAACATCAAATGGCTTGAAATCCTTATCTGACAATGATATTGTAAACTAGAGGTTGGGGGTTAGGATTAGGTCAAATATTCAAGTTTAAACAACCCTTAATAGTCTGCCACCAGATCTTAGAAAATAAAGAAAAGTAATAATAAAGAATACAAAATTCAAAATTCTCATGACACTTCAAATTGTTAGGAAATTTTTCAGTTGTAAATTCATCTTTGAATTTGCCTTCTATTGACTAAGGTCATATGTTAATATATTAAATCATATTTTATTGAGTGACCATTTTCTCTGAAATTTATTTTTGCTTAACTTCTCACTCAAAGAACTTCATATTACTTACTCATATTCCTATATTATAGAAGTCATTTGATATAGAAAATTTCAAATATTAAACATTATGGATGAGATAATAATATTTTTACCTCTCATAGACTTTTTATTATCATTTTATCTACACTATCTAAAAGTAATATATATTAATGAGAATTTGAAACATAAATTTTCTATGATCATTAATAAAATAATTTGAACTCTTCAGTATTATTTAATATATCAATCTTCTATTCAGTTCACAATCCACATATCAATTTTATGATTTTATACTAGTATCTAAAAATCATCTTAAGGTAATTCTCAACTCAACACTTTATGCCTCACAACTTGGTCATTATAGTTTGGTTTGATGGTAAACACTTATCATCCCATTAACTTATCTCTTGGTAAATCAATGTAATAAATGCACAAGAATATGAAAACATGCTTCGGGAGGAAGAATCAGCCATCTTCGATCAATATATTGCTCTCCACAATCACATTCTCTACTCTATCCTTTTGTGACAACTAACGTAAAATTCACCAAAATAGTTCATCTACTACAAATGATGAATTTATTCTTGATTTCCCCTTAATTCAGCTGCTATAGAAGTTGAAATTCATCCATGAACTTCTTGGCCACATAAAACGATGAAAAGTTTCTTCAAAGGATACTTGTTCAAACATTATAGTATGTTTGATGTTGAATTATCACCGTCAATCGATTTCAACAAATGAGAATTGTTAGGATCATTATTCATTGACTAGATATTTTGTAAGAATTTAATTGGTGCACCACGTTTGCACAAATTGATCGAATCTTGGTAAAAATTTGATCAATGACTATGCCGCTCATTCTTCCATAAAACTTGAATATTTGTATGATTTTGAGTATTTTAAAATTTATAAACAATCTTATCAAGTTCTACATTATGTTACGAATAGTTTCTCTTTTGAAATAAAAGTTTAATTTGAATTATTTTGACTTTGATTTTAAGAAATGCAAGTCAATGTATTTCCAACGACTCAAAGTAAGGCATGTTCTACATAGGTTGACATCTGATGATGTCATAATCTCTAATTTAATATTTTTTTTGTAATTTTATCAATGAAAAACTCTAAAAAATTAATCTATCAATTAAAAATCTAACAAACTAAGTTTTTATTTTTCCTATGTTTGGCCTAGAAAAACCCTTATCAAATTAAATATTTCTAATTTGGCTTATTTCTTAACATTTAGAAATTTTAAATTTGTTGAGTTTTCTTAACAATGTCAAAAAATATTCAGACAATTGCCTTAGACATATCTTACAAAGTACTTCATGAACAACCATCATGAGTGGTAGGATAAGACATTCTATGAAGATGTTTATGGGAATTATGCAACACTTTGTGTAGAATTTTGTGAAACATCTATGATACAAGAAGTAAGCAAGCTAAATTAAAAAAAATGTCAGTTGTCATCAGATATTTTTCCTATGAAAGGTCTTATAAAAGGGCTCAGAGTCATGAAATGTGACATCACTTGATATATACTTCCTTTTATTTGATCTAGATACTCATAACCTTTTTATGCTAGCAAGTAGCCTAAGAAAACACTTAAAAGTACGCTAAGATTTAATTTATTAATATTTATATTAGAGAGATGTATCTAGCAGACAACCCAAATGTCTTTGGTGAAGGGGAAACTAATGATTTGGTACATAAAAGTGGTTTGTACAGAACTTGATCCTTGAGTATAGTAGATGGCGTCCTATTGGTTAAATAAGTTGCATTCAATAGAACTTTTGCCCCAATATATTTTTGCAATATGACTTTGAAAAAGTAGAGTCCAAGTAGCTTCAAGAAGATGATAGCTTCAAGTAACTCATGTCACGTGCCTCAATGACACCATTTTTGCCACAAGGGAGTCAATCAGCTCGCACACTATAGCGGCATCAAAGCTCGCTCTACATACATGTTGCGGGCGATGGTCTTCAACACCACTACATACATGTCCTTAAACTGTTTCTCCATGGCCTAGAGGTGGGTCTCTATACCTTTCATGGTGCAGACATAATAGTAAGCTGCTTTTCCGCACCAATCAATCTTTGGTCGTCAGTCCTGTTTTTTCCTTCCATGAAACTCGACTCTTTCAATAATTTGTCACACGAGTATGTTTGTGCGACCAGTTTTGGTCGTCCTCCACGACGCCCAAACAAAGGCCGGTTCTCGCAAATGGAGATTCACACCACCTTCACTGAGGGAATACATAAGAAGGTGGTATGTTCGGGGTTCATGAGGTTCCAATCGTGTTCTGGCAGAGTCTTCTGCCCATACTTCTACATGCATGTCTATTAGCTGCTCGCCCATCGCATGGCCTGCGAGGCGTGCGGTTCGGCACCCAGGACCGGCCGTCGGGCTGTTCTCCTGCGTTTGGCGGGAGCCTACCTTAGTGGAGCTCGGGCTCGGGGGCTGTAGTTGGGTTGAATGTTATCTTAGCGAGGCCCATGCCAGCGGAAACGTCGGAGGGGATTGGGGGACGGCCGGCTGGCCGGTGGCGAGCGGCGGCAGGTGATGCGTCTTCCATCCCCCGCTGCGGCTCGCGGAGGCGGCCGTCATTCCCTCTGCAGTGGCTCCCCCTTCCTTTGTTGGAACTTCAAGGGGAGAAAGGAGTTGCTTGCGCAGTCTTCTATCTGGGCCGCAGACGCGAGGGGCTTCCGCTCGGACGCGGCTTTGCACGCTCTAAGGCGAGCGGGCGCCCACCCCGCGTTTCCCCCCTTGGAGAGCGGCGACGGAAGGGGAGGAGGAGGGGCAGGCGTCGAGGGTTCTGTGTTGACGCCCGACAATGCTCGTGACGAGAATGGCTTTAGCCTCGTGCTGTACAACTACCCATCCTTCTCGGCCACCCTGGCGGCGGTCTTCGCCCGTCGCTACTATTCCCTTCGCCGTCTCCCTGCCCTCGTTTTGCCCTTCTCCTCCGTTGAGCCGCTCAGGTACCGACACCTCCTCAGTGCGCCGCGCCCCGTAGAGAATTCCGCTCCCCACCTATTTGTGCAAATGCCTCACCCATCTCTTCTCTTCTCTTCTCTTCTCTAAGTGAAGTAGCAGGAACGTCCTCTTTCGCTTGACGTTGGCGTTTGTGCAGGGTGGACGATCTGAAACTCCAGGGCCTGAGGACGTGCTACCTTCTCGACTTCGTCGGTCCGGGCCGTTTTGCTGTGGAGCTGTCGCGGTTCATCCCCGAGTAATCTTTTCTGCTCGTTTGTTTCCTCGGAGGTTCTCCATTGGAAATCTCCGCAGGTTGTTGATTCTGCTGCGAGGAAAGAGATACTAACCGATCGCATTATTCTGTCGCGCAGTGTGGTCGCCTTCGACCACCGAAAGCTGACGGCGGAGCGGATCTCGCGGTTTGGAAGCTGCCCAGGGAACCTGGAGCTGCGTGTCGACACGAGCAAGAGCAGCGCTCGCGATGTCTATGCCTACTTCTCCGAGAAATTTTTTGAATCCGGACACCCTGTGGTTAGCATCTTCCGGTGAACTTTAGTCACTGATATAGCGCTTACTCTTCGATCTCCTCATTAGCCAGCCCTTCCTGTTTGTGGGCTTGGCAGGAGGAATCTGTGAGCTTCCTGAATCAGCAGGAAGAGCGCCGCGTCGAGAGCCTTCTCGAGTACACCGAAGATGAGGATCTTCGCCGACGGGACCTGGCAGAGATCCGGGCGTTCAAGATCGGGCTCAGAGAAGCACAAGCTAATCTTAATTGCCTCACGAATCCTCATGTTTTCGAGCAGGTTAATCGACCCGTTTCATGATTCTGGGCCTGATTTATCTGGGCAGGCTCTCAACATGGGTTCCTCTCTCTCTCTCTCTTCTTTCCCATGCCGACACTTAAAACTGTGCGCTTCTCGAACAGGTGCTGGAGATCGACCCTACCGAACTAATAGCCCAGGGGAATTCCCGCATGTCCTCCAGGCTCGATCCAGCGAGGAAGCTGCTGGGAAAGGAGTTCAAGATTAGGCTGGGACGAGGTTTCTACGGGGAATGCCTGGTAAGGCGAGCTTCCCCTCCCCCCCCCCCCTTTCCAATTCGTAAGTCGCCCAAAAAAAAAGAAGAAATCTGTCTGTCTGCTGCACATTTGGTCTCCAGATGAAGATTATGCCAAACTAGTTTGCAGAACATCCGCTGAAAGTGAACGGCTCTCTCTTGGTTGTGTCCTGTCTTCTTCCAGTGCATACGAGCGGACGGGCATTCTCATTTGAGCCATGAAATCGGCGACGAGCTCAGCAGGAGGAGCGCTGCCGCCGGGCTGAGGTGTGGTGCCTGGGCTTAAAAGAGCCTACCATATCTTGCAGCTCAGCCTGCCATCTGATAAAGCTAAAACTGCTGATTCTGTCTGTGTGCCCACTGACCCCGTCGGGCCAGGCCCATAGGTGCGGTGGCGTTCATGCAGCGGGGCAACCTCAAAATATGCCTGAGGTCTACCGACGGCGCCACCGACACCGCTGAGGTCGCTAAGGTGAGGCCGCAGGCTGCAACACTGCTCTTGGAAAGAAGAATAATTGTCCACTGAAGCTGGGACTATGCTCTCATCCTTCTTTCGTTTTTATAGGCGTACGGTGGGGGCGGGCGATCCGGCTCCAGCTCCTTCATCATAAGGATGGACGAGTACGGCCTCTGGACTCTCCCGAATCCGTTATGAACTCGCGCCGGCACTCCACACCTCGAATTTCAATGGACCTTCCCCGATGGTTGGTCCCCAGACTAATTAATATTCGAATTCGGATGAATATTCGACGGACGAGTGAGGTCCTCCGGCCTGCGTTGACTCTTGATCGATATCGCATGCATATTCTTCACGGAGATAGATCATCGGCGGATCAGATGTTGATCGCCGATATAGATGTCTGACCCTGATTGGAAGCCCGGGGGCCGCGTACCGGGGGGCGGGGGGGGGGGGTCTCCAATCGCTGGAAGCAGAGGTTTCGGGATGGTCGTGCAGCAAAGTCGCTGCTTATTTCCTGAAAGAGACGAGCGGAATAGATCAGTGAAAAGGGAGCCTGATTGGAAAACCCATATTCTGAGCCGCTCGTTGACGTGAGCGAGAGAGAGAGAGAGAGAGAGAGAGAGAGAGAGAGAGAGAGAGAGAGAGTGGATTGCCGACATTATTTTGGTCAACGCGATAACCAACGTGGGAGGCCAAGCTCGTCGGACGGACGGCCGAGGTGGGCTATCAATCTGCACATGGAGAAAGACGGGGAGGAGTCGCCCCGGATCTCCAATCTTGACCCATCTCTTCTACCGTATCGCTGAACGTCTCTCCCCCAACTTCCGGGAGATAAAAATCTTCTCCGCCCCCCTGCGGCTTCCCCTCCGTCGCTGCTCCCAGTCCGCCGTCAAGGCGCCGACCAGCCTCAATGGAAGAAAAAACGCGGAGAGCAACGGAGTGCCCGCGCCGTAATCGGGGAAAAGATTTCTCACGCCCTCGCCATTTGGTCGCCGACGGCTAGGAGGCCGTTCCTTGCTGTTGCCGTCATCCGTTGGGACTTCGCTGTCGCCTCTGTTATTTTTATGTCCTCTTGAAGGTTCCTGGAAGTTGCGTGAGGACCCGCGTCTCCTCCTCCCCTCTGGCCTCCCTCTGCAACAGCAACAGCAATATTGTTTTCGGCAGCGTCCCTCGACGAAGGCCACCGCATTCCCCGTCAACCCTATCCCTTCGCCAGGGGGTTTTATTTCTGCGCGGGGGGGAGGTCCACGCAGATGAGTACTCATTCCACCTCGGGTTTTTTTGATGCGGGGTTGAATCCGTCAAGCGACAGCGACCGCCGGGAGCCACCGCCGCCCTCGCTCGGTCTTCGGAAGAGCAACATCCTTCGTTTCCTGGTTTTCGGCGGAAAGGGCATGGCATGATCTCCCGTCCCTCCCGGGGTATCCGTCCATTGAAGCTCTTCGTCCGACGGACGAGGATTTTGGGCGGCAGTGGCTTCCTCCTGCTCGCCGCAGCTGCGTCGCTTTCCTCTTCCTGACCGACCGAGGATCCGATCGCGTCCAATCGGCCGACGACCGGAGCAACTTTCCACCTATTCAAGGTGGGTTCTAGGGAATTATTGTAGTGCGCGCTGAGAAGCTGCGGATTTCATAGAGAAGAAGGCATCATAATTCGCCGTCGGGGGCTTCTCATCTCCCCCCCCCTCCCCCCACGCTTGATTTTGATCCGCCCGCACTGGAACACCGCATGTGCTCCCCCATGGAACTGATTGGCAACAAGCAGCGGCGCCGTGAGGAGGCGGGAGAGTCAGGCAGGGAGTCGTCGGCAGAGGCGCTGCTCTCCGGGGAAACCCGTCTGTACCAGAAGCACTTCCCCGGGGTGCTGAGGAAATATGCATACCGCTTTGATGGGTCGGGCAATTACTCGGACAAGGACTGGGATCTGGAGGAAGGCCAGGGGAGCGAGTTCTGCTGGTACCACGTGGAGCTCCCCAAGGGGGACCAGAAGCTAAGCAAGAACGCTCAGTACCTCATCGACGTTCTCTGCCCTCCGCTGAAGCTCCACGAAATCCTCGCTCTGGTGAGCAACGGGCCCTACTGCGGGCAAGTCGACCGCGCCCTCGTCTTCAGGGTGAACTCCCCGGGCCCGTCGGCGAGCGACTTCACCCTCCGGTTCGCCGTGAGGGTCACGGGGAGATCGGTGATCACCGTCTCCCTGGGGCGCATCCCCAGGATGGGCTTCTCCAGGTACCGCCTCCCCCTCCTCAACGACGTGCCCATGGTAGGGAGCGGCGGCGGCGGCGGCGCCGCCTCCTCTTTCGCCGGCAGAGACCAGGCCAACGGCGTGGGTACAGTGATCGACGAGCACCTCCTCGAGTTCCTGCTGAGGATGGATCACTCGGAAGAGGCCGACAACCCCGTGCCGGCGACCGTGTCCAACCTCGTCGTGCACATCATCGACACCTACGTCGACCACGTCCACGACATCATCACCAACCTCGAGATGGAGCTGGACGCGGTGGAGCTCGAGCTGGATAAAGGTGACCATCCCGAAACCTCTGCTTCTGCCTAGACCCGTCTGCCTCCAGCGGCGCCCGTCTGTCCCGTTCGACCCCGCCGGAGAGTCCCTGCTCTTCCAAGCATAGGATTTTCCTTCTGGCGGCGGCAGCAGGGACCTCCTCTCTTCATATTCTGCCGGGAGAGTCGTCCAGCAGTTGTTGATACCTCGTTCCAAGGTCTGGGGGGTGGGGATTTCAGGTGCTTTTGGGCCATAATTAATCACCGGGAGATCACAGCATTGCGCGCCACTGTCTCCTCCTTGCTCATCCGAGTTTTACATCACCAGCCCTTCCTCCAAATTCCGGTAAGGTGATCGGTCATTTTGTGATGAACTCCGGGTTTATCCTCAGATCAATGGGGTCCTCCCCGTCCTCACTTTCAAAACTCGTCAAAAATTTGTTTCCATCGCAGGGTGACTGGCTACTGAAACACTCACCATTCTTACCTCCTCCTTCTCGCTCCCTTGGTTTTCCGGGCCTCCGCAACAGACCTCAGACGGAAGATCTTTGCAATATTACTGCTTAGGCAGATTTTCTGGCGTGATGGTTCTTGATGATAATGACGCTCTGCACCCGCATTCGGTCGGACTTCTTCTCCCTCCCTTCTTGGGTTCAGCCTTAGAATCGGTGCGTCGCCTACATTACATCAAATCCTTGCTTTTCCCCTCCCCTCTCCTCCCCTCCCCCGTGGAACGGAGTCTGCCTGCCTGTTGGAGGTGACCCGGCTGGGATGGTGAGGGCGGGCTCCCACGTCTTCTTCTTCTCCATCTCGGATTTCCGCGGCTCTGAACGATATTTCTACCTTGCAATGCTTCCTGAGATCCCCCCGATCACCTGTCCCTCCCGAGGTTGTTGATTACTTCTCTCGCAGGCGGCTTTACGGCGAAGAAGCAGATGATGGACGACCGGCGATTTCCCAAGATGCATCTGAATCTGCAGCGTCTCCTGCAGGTGATTCCAGAAGCCGAAACCAGGAAAAGATTCGAAACCCTGCGGGGGAGCAAAACAGGACGCGACAATTCCTTCACATCCGGAGAGTTTACCTGCGCAGGTGGTTGCCCACGGAGAGCAGGTCTTCCCTCGAGTGAAGGAAAAGTTGGCGAACAAGAGCTGGTTTGCATCCGAGGACACCCTCTCTCTGGAGGAGCTCATCGGCCGGCTCCGGCGGCTGAAGGAGAACGTCGGCTTCATTGTGAACCGGGTCACCGCGATCCAGGCCGGCCTCGACAGCTGGCAGGCGGAGCAGATCAATCGGAAGCTCTACTACCTCTCGTTCCTGTCGATGATCTTCCTTCCCCTGTCCATAGTCACCGGCAGTAAGTCCCTCCTCCCACGCCCATTCATTCCTTCCCATACTCGCTTCGGTTCCCGGGAAAGAAGAGCCGGAGGACGCTGTCTGACAGAGACTCGCTCGCTCGCTCTTATTCCCCTCCTCTCTTGGGTGCAGTCTTCGGGATGAATGTCGGCGGCGTTCCGTGGACGGCGCAGAGGGCCCCTTCTCTGGACAACGGCTTCCGCAACGTCCTGCTGATCTGCGCGGGGATACTGCTGTTCCTCCTCGTCTGCTTCACCTTCCCCGCCCTCTACGCCCGCATCTCGGCCTGGAAGCGGCGGCGGGCGCTCAAGAGGAACTTGTCTCTGAACCGCAAGTCCTTCCTGAAGAGAGGCGCCAACGGGAGCCCCTCCGAGGGCAGAGGCTACGTCCGGATCTGAGCGGCAGTTGCCGCCTCTTCCGCCGATCTCCCCGCCCCCCCAATCCCGCTTTGTACATTCCCCCCGGCATTGCCTACATTCGCTCGCCCATTGGTCGCATCTGGGTGGATTCGCTCCCATTGCAATTGTTTGCAAGCGCAGCCTCTTCCCCTTCCTTTCTCCTTTGCCACCCCGATCGATTAGAGAAACACGTCGAATGCAAGTGAGTGAGGACGATACCTTCCTCTGCGGAGATCTCGACGCCTCAAATCCACTCCACTCCACTCCCTCCGGCTGCGTTCGCAAAGGGCGGCGCTCGACGCATGGTTCGTAGTGGTGCGGGATCAGCGACGAGGGGCGAGAAGCGCCGCCATCGCTTCAGGCTTTGTTCCCGCCGCTCGTCGCTGTTTGAAGAGGGCCGTGAGATGTTCTCGGGCGGGCGGGTGAACAACCAAGAGGGGCAGATAAAACCGGGTTCGGTCCGCGGTTCCTGTCGGGTCAAAGACGCGCATTGACGAGGACGGTTCGAGCTTCATCCCTACTTCGGATACCAAGCACCCGACGCGAAGAGTCCGTCCCCTTCCGACGTCGTTTCCACCCGAGATCTGGCGTGGACACCCACCCTCAGCCCGCGGCCGGCGCCGAGATCCAGGGTGACGCTCACCGCCCATCTTTCTGCCTGCCAGCCTGTCCCGCCGGTGGAGAGAGAGAGCTCCGGCGCAATCCTGAGCTGTCGGACAGGGCACCAGGTACTCTCTCTCTCTCTCTCTCTCTCCGTCCTCGGGGAACGGCGTTTGTGTTCTTTCTGTTCTTCTGACTCCATCATCTGAAGGGTTCGTGCGTGGGCTTATGCTCTGTGAATGCCAGTTTATTTTGGATTTCCTTCGTTCGACTGTGTTTGGGTTGAGTGCCTAGTCGATCCTCAAGGGAGAATAGTTAGCGAGACGGAATTGAAACGGACGAAACTCAAACAAAATTAGGACGTGAAAAATTTGCAGAAAATGACATCGTAACTGTTCCATGATCCTTTTGATGCGTCTCGGTAGACGTGAACTCAAAATCATGAAATACAACTAAAGACCAAAGTTTGACCATCACAAATGTGCACTCGCTGCATTGGAAGTTTTTCTTTCTGATGTCTGAATTTATCAAAGGACACAGGCGTTTGTTAGGGCTTTCGTAATCAAGAAACAGTCCTTACGGTTGCCTTGTCTTAATTGGGACTATTCTTATCTTCTCTTCTTGCCAGGCAAAAACTCCCTAGTTCGATCTATTCTTTCATATGTATATTTCAAACATGTTTTTTAACGATATAAATATAACTTTGTATTTTTTGTAATTATTTCTGTTCACTTCTTAGAAGTTTCTTTTGGTATTCACTTGACTGTGCCTGAATTTCTGTTTTGTTTGGGAGATTGAAGTCGGGTAAATACGATGGAGATGGAGGTCAATGAGAGGGCGGAATCCTCTAATACTGATGCTGAATCCGGTGGACACAGCGAACAGCATGAGTCTAAATTGGAGCTGTTTGGGTTTGACTCTCTGGTCAATATTTTGGGTCTCAAGAGGTACTAGGCGAACTAGTATTTATATTTCCATCTTTGTTTCAGCTTCGCTGCTCTTTTTTTTCTTTGCCTGTTTCGTATTCTCTCATCTATTAATTAGGTTATAGTAGAAATTATTGATGAAGGAAACTATGCAGTACAAACAAGATTACCAATAACTGCGCCAGTTTTTGTCTTCTTGTGTCTTGTCGTCACCAGCATCATTTGTTCCATCGAGGATTATCTATCGGGACCCCTGCCCTTTGCACATTGTATATCACTTTTCTTCAAGATAAGCCATTATTGACATCAAAAGAGTGTCGAGGCTTGTTATCAGTCTTCTAATCATACTTTGCTTCTTTAGAAAGTCAATACTGGCCCTGGCTGTTGGTATTAGGGGTAAGATGCTTATTGTCAGAAATTTTGAAGACAAATCCCCTGTCCTTGGTGTCGATCCTCAGAAGACCATGAACTGGGGAAGTGGATGGTTTTAGGACTATTGAAGTACTAAATGAATTCTGGGAAGTTTTATCTGGGATGTTAGCGAACAGATGGAAAGGTGTAATTGGTGTCTTGCATCAATATGATTTTATGAAAAAATGGTCCGATCTTGACTGTTTTATGATATCCTATTTCAACTTTGATAACTAAAAGAGAAAATATTCGGTGCTGAAATTAGATTTTGGAAAGGGATATGAAAGGTTTAGTTTTATTGGGGACTCTGTCTCTTTTTTTTTTTTGGGTTTTGGTTTCAACAAAGGTGTATTTCTTGATTTCTAGTCGTAAATAAACTGCCATGTACCTAGTTAAGCTGAATGATGAAGTTAGCGAGTCCTCCAAATGTCTCAGGAGACTCAGGTAGTTCATATCTGCCTTTTGCTAGCAGTTAACCAAGATCCTTGTTTACAATAGATGAAAGTAGCCAAAGCGAATATTATTCTGAGTAGGATAGAGAGAGAAAACGTGCTCATCTTCAATTTTCAGATCATGTATATTTGTAACAAAGGCTTTGAACATTCATTTAATGTTACCAGTATTGTAAGTGGTCTGAAGAGACACGAAGCAGACCAGCATAATGGGTGGTCAAATATTCTATATTTTCTGTAAAATGAAATATCCCGACCTCTCCATTGGATGGATTTTTAAAATCATGATTGGACGGAGATTTTGGTATTTTTGGTCAAAGACATGGAAGTTACAATTCTGAGGCTTTATTATCATCATTTGGGAAATGGGAGCTTTTTAAAAGGGTGCTTTCAAGTTTACCCACAACTTATTCCCATGTAGGATTCCATAGCTGTTTAAGGGAAGAATTGAAGCTATTAGGGATTTTTTTCTTGTTCTAGTTTGATGGTGTCAAGACGAATTAGGGTGTCTACTTAATTTAGTGAAATAGAGTTTGTTTGAATAAGATTGATGGATTTGATTTTGCATGGTGCCCTTAACAGAGTCTTCCTCTCTAAACAGCTCTCAGTACGTGGAGAAAACTCAATGGTACTGCCTGAGATTAGAATTGGTGATTACTACCACTCCTATTCTAAATGGGGCGTTCATCTTGCCTAAAGGTCTCCTATTTCACTGATATGGAGGCATATTGCCAAACATTGAGATTGCATCCGTGCATTGAACTCGTAGAGGTTGGAGGAGGAAGATATGTTCTGTTTTGGAGGGCGGTTTTTGAATGGTGTTGAATACCTTTTTCTGGAGTTATTTTAGTTTCAGCGGATACAAGTGACGAAATTTCGATTACAAGGGGCAGGACTGGTTTCTTCAGTTCGAACTTTGGAGAAAACCGTTTGACTTCTAGTAGTGTTTCTCATATCCAGCTTAGGGAAGGGAAAGGTGACGGAAAAAGGAGGTGGAAGGCTAAGAGTTTATTATATTTGAGATCTTTTTAGGCATTCTTAGATTGTATGTCTTGATCTTGATACGAAAAAAAAGAGCTAAGTAGTTGATTTCTGATGAAATTAATATTTTGTGAAAGTTTCTGTGAAGAGACTCTCTGTGTAATCAAAATATTTAATCAATCAGGGAAAAATGAAGTCTACATCTTGCGAGTCGAAGCAGTGAAATCTTGATCATTTGTTTGTTGAGTGTGGAATAATTAAGTTATGAAATATTTATTTTAAGCTCTTTATTCAAAATTTAGAGGATTCACAGTTATCCACCGAAATAATATCTATCCTTCGCCTCCATAGAAGGATTCCAATTCCAACATCTCGTTCAGCTGGACAAAAGAAGCAGAAGCTGAGAAGCAATTTGTATGACTAGTGGACACCATTTATTTGTCCTGCAATCGATGAAGACTAGGTCTATTGAACACATTGAGACACTTTGTCAGCATTCGTTTGGTGAACAGCATTTAAAGATATAAAGGTTTTAGATATGGGTGTATGGAAATGGTATGGTTAGGGACAGAGTATAGTCTTATAAATTATCCTCTTCGAATTGATGTTGATTTTTCCTCCGAAGTGGGATCTTTGTCATTAGGTCATCCCTTTTGGTTGAGCACTGTACAATTTTTGGCTGTATCAGAGGCTGACATATGTTATAGAAATTCTGCCATCATTTTAAAATTGAATTCTGCTTGTACTACTTGCAAAAACTATCCTTCGCCTAATGTGTATGACTTTATCTTGAAAAATTCTCAACAGCTATATTTCCTTGTCACGGCGAAAAAGGATAGTGAAATTCCAAAGTGTTTTCTTTCCAGTGCTGGTATCTGATAGTTTGTCCCTTTTTCAAGACTTCATCCTCTCTCAGCACTCTTAGCATGAGCTGCACACCTCTTGAAGAATAAACTGATGATGGTTAAACCATGAGGACTCTGTCATGTTATTCTTTCCTGTCTGTTAACTATTTTTAAATTATATTCAATATGCCAAGTACATTATTCTGTACTGATTTATGGATATTATTGCAGCATGACTGGAGAACAAATAGCAGAACCTTCAAGCCCTAGGGATGGAGGAGAAAATATATCTATTACTCTTGGACGACCTAAGGTATATTATTCCATATTTGTCTCTGGCATTCGTTTTGTTTATTATAGTTTAGTTATACCTCGGCTAGCGTACTGACAAAGATTGGTTTGTTGTATTTTATGACTTGTGATCCATTTAATTCGACCTTCATCTCTCATCTTGCTACGATTATATAGATTTTATTTTATTCTTTTTATCCGGTGATCCCAGTACTTACAGGACGCAAAAGCAAGGGAAAAGTTTGTAGTTAGATAGTTTAGGATATGAACGAGATCAACCTTTGGATTTGAATCGCTTCTACCTTCGTTTTGTGGCGTATGTTATGGTGATAGATAGCCAGACCTATCTAAAAAGCTTTTCTAGTGAATTTACTGGAAACATAAATGATAGGGGGGCAAGGCAAAGCCTAACAAAAAGAATTCCCCTGCTGTCATCAATGCTACATCTTCTATGAGTTTTCTTAATAAAAACCAGTCCTATTCTTTGTTGTACTTGGTCTGTATCTGTGTTTTTCTTATTCTTAATTTATTTTCCAATTTAATTCTGTACTAGTTTTGGAATTTTTCATTAGTTAAGGTTGTTTCCTAGTTGACTCAATGGGTTACAAGACGTGTGTGCGCCTTGTGGGTGGGGGGGGGGGTGATGATCTTGGAAGTGAGCTACTCAGGTATTAAAGGATGTACCTTCTTCAATTTAGTGTGAAATCCCAAACAACTGTGTCCTTAAATGTCAAAAATAACACTTCTTTGATATCTGAAGTCTTCATAAAGTTGCATAAAATTATTGGTGAATTAATTTTTTAGCCCGCATAAGACACGGTTTGTTTTCAGCATAGTCATTCTTTGAGGCTTAGCAATCAAACTTAAATGAATGTCTATATCAAATCACAATTACTGAAATAATTCGTAGTATCAATTTTGAGATCAATTGATTTTGTTATTGTCTAATATTATTTCCTCATATTTGTGTCTATTACGATGGTGGTATTTTTAAATACTTTTGGAGCTTGTTTCAAAATATTTTACCGCTTTATCCTTGCATGAATTTACAGAATAACGTAATGCTTCTTTGTTTCTCATGGATATTTTTATCCTTAGTTCTTCATCACTGCTAACGTCATGGTCCCATTTGCTTTAAGTGGTTGACAGAGCTCTCACTTTGGCTTTGATTTCATGTGCTTTTCTTTTGATGTATTAATAGATATCATCGATTTGAAATGTAATGTCGTTCGTTTAGTGAAAGAAATTTCTCTTTTTTGCAGCAGACTGGTCCTAAACTGGGAACCATGATGGGCGTATTTGTGCCATGCTTACAAAATATTTTAGGAATTATCTACTATATCCGCTTCTCTTGGTAAAGTCAACCTTTCTTATTTCGTTTTCCTGATTCAAGTTTCCTTTGAATAAACGGATTTTCTTGCATGTTCATTTTAAGATTCCACAATGAACTACTAGGTGACTAGCTGCAGCTCTGCCACATTTAGAAGATCAAATATAAATATTATTCATAGAAACACATGATTTTTATTGACTTATACTTTCTACTTGTTTCAGTAATATTTCTTGTGTTCCTTTTTCTTTTCCCATGAAGTCCTGAACTCATGGAGGGATTTTTTTTCAGGATTGTTGGTATGGCAGGTATTGGTGAGTCACTTATGTTGGTCGCATTTTGTGGGTTGTGCACTTTCTTAACTGCAATATCGTTGAGTGCAATTGCAACTAATGGCGCAATGAAGGTATAGCTGGTGTATTTTCAATCGTGTTAATTTGGCTTTTTTTTTTTTATCAAGATATAGTTTCGAAGTCTTTATGCTCGGTAAATATGAGTCGTTCTCGATCATTTGATTTTCGCTGAGCTGTAAAATAGAAAATGCAGCAAAATCCTGTTTTTTTTTTTTCTTCTAATTTTTATGTTCTTGTCAGTTCAGGACAAAGTACTTTAGATTCCTTGATTACTCGGGAAAGTTTATCATGAAGGAGGAGATGTTGATTCTCTCTCTCATTCTCTCTGTCGCTCATACTTGCATTCATTTTGTGAATCACGACCATGAAGATATGTCACTTGATTCTTGATGTGAGGCGATAGAAGTCCATTCTGAATATGTTCCTAGCTGGAAAGATAACACCCTTTTATCTATGCCATCTCTTTCACATCTCTGTCACAGCAGACGAAATTTTCTTTTTCGTTTGAAGATATTGAAGGATGACTTTTTTGTGTTAATACTATTGTTGAAAATTTTATGGGGAGAAGTACTCTTTTGACCAGACCCGCCTTTTGGTAGGCCTGGTTGCCACCATGCCATTCTTCTTTTAATCAGTGTGTTGGAACCTCCTTGATCGACTAGTACTAAAACTTCTGGGTCGTTAGGCTAGTGGTATGGAAGACCTTTCAGTTAAGTACGACTGGGAATTACATATTGCTTACATTCGTGTTGCAATTTTTCCTAATTTTTCACCTTGACTGCCGACTTTACAATCACTTTTGTAAGGAATGGATACTCAAGAGAGAACAAAGAATTCAACATTTATTCTATCTGCACTGATGTTTGCCAGAAATGAGCAGAAAATGCACTCGAAATTAGACGCAATGTTGTCCTTGCAGCATTCATACACAAATTACCAGGAAGTACAACTAAATTCAACGTAATGGAATGTCAACCATTTCGTTCGTATTTTCTCTTAAACATTATTTCTATACTACTCATTTCCTATTATTTTTTATGGGGTCTGTAAATTGGAGAATATGTATATGATTCTTCCAATGCGCTATTGTTTTTTACAAATTTAATTGACCTCTGTCTATCTTCTGGCTGAAACATTGATGTGATGTTATACTTGGTACCTGAAGCTAAATATTTCTTATGAGATAAATTACTATATACTTTAGGTTGGATTATTCGGCTACATGGAAAAGTTGATTATCTTTTTAAAAAACACGAACTACATTCTGTCTAAATATGCTATGTAAATAAATTTTTGGGACGATTCTTATAAAAATTAGTACTTATGTGTCAAGTGCCAAATTTTGGCCTTTCTTCTTCTGATTTCTGTGTACGTTGGTAACAGCTGAAGCATTAGTAAGGCTTCATGAGACGTTGAAACGTAGACTTTCATGGGTTAACTTGGTAAAAGTTGAGTCTTTGTGAGAGTTTTCATAGATATGAAATTTGCTAATCTTAGATCAATGGACTGTACCGTGCGTGATATTTCTTAGGTGATTATGGGTTTAGGAAGGATGAGAGAGTCATTACCATGTCTCGTGTACATTTTCAGCTAAGTAATAAAGTAATTTGGAAAAAAAAATTATGATTATTTCTTTATTAGGAAAATAACAGCAGAACATCTTGGATGGTCTGACATTCCTCTGACCCAGGATTCATAGTACACTATGTAAAAGCAGCTATAACAAGCAACTCTTTCTCTCTATAAAATATCTAAATAACTCTCGAGAACACACACACACAGATATGTATATATATATATATATATATATTATATATATATATATACTATGTTGCAGCCTTCCTTGTGCCTTCCGAGGGGAAGGAGGTTTGAAATTTTTTGAGGATGTCATTTTGGAAAACCACCCATTTGAGTGTTGTTAACCATTATGTAGTTCTAATGAGCAATTGTGGTTACAGAGGCAGTGATCTGGCTTCCAATATTTATCTACTTGTGTGATTTACCATCCATTGTTAGTGGAATGATCCTCTGTCTTTCTGTTGATGTTAAGGTTTTATTATCTGTCACTTAAGTGATGACCTTTTTAGATCACTTTTGTACTAAGATTATCTGTCTATGAGATGTTGATGATATTGTTACTCTTTTGACAAGGGTGGTGGACCCTATTATCTCATTGGCCGAGCACTTGGTCCAGAAGTTGGAGTTAGTATTGGGTTATGCTTTTTTCTCGGAAATGCTGTTGCAGGATCCATGTAAGGTGGCATTTTTCAATATTTTCTTTATATCGGTGTTGACACTTCGATTTGTTATCGACTCCACTATCTTATGAAGATTCTACTATCAAGTAAGATTAATTGGACAGTCTAATTAGGAGGGCCCTTGCTAAACATGGCTTATCCTTGTATTGAATTTAATGGTGGGATTTTCTGAGATTAAACTGTGTCTGAACACGTCGGCTATCCCAGTTATTTGTTTGATCCCAAATTTAAAATACTTGGTCATACTGGATAAAATACTGCCCAAAGTGGCAACAGGTGAGGAAGAGAGGAATTGGAGCAATGAGGACAGCGTTTTCGCAAGAAAACCTAGCTGCTTGAACTATCTGTGGAATTTGAGACATTAGTATACTTAAAGTCTCAAAGTCAGCATTTTATTCAAAGAAAAAAATACCTTTTATTTTTATATTTAAATGCAATACCCCTTGGATAGGAATTCTTCTTTGAATAAACTAGTGGCATTGATACCAAGAAGGTTTGAGAAGTGCGCTACTGAAGAATCATTGTCTGAATTATTTCTTTTTGCAGATAATTTTCGATGATTTCGTCTATTGTACACTTGAGCAAAATAATGATATGAACCCAAGAATGGATGGTATTATGTGTCAATTTATTAATAATGCTAGATCTCAGAAACATTTCATTCAGGATCTCTTTGAACGTGAGTTTATAATTCACGCTGCCACAAAAGATCACAGAATGTTTAAAAACGTTTATAGCTAAAATAAATTTTAAATATCTGTTTGTTGACTATTGTTTTGATTTAATGTTTGATGAGGAAGCCTTCCCTGCAGACACAATGGACTCATCGTGATTCACAGTTCGTGAAGATTAATATTCTGTCTTTATCAGTTCAGGAATATTTGAGTGCATATTCAGTACCTCGTTTCTTGATAATTCTTTCTGAACTTCCCGTAGGTACGTCCTAGGAGCTGTGGAAACCTTCTTAGATGCTGTACCAGGAGCTGGAATTTTTAAAGGTGACATTATGAAAATCATTTTACATTTGATCTGATATTTTTCCTATCTTTCCAGTAAGAAATTTTTGCAAGCCCCTTACCTCATCACACAACTCTTGAACTGGTTTTGATAGTTTCTCAGGAATTTTCCAAGATATTTGACTGAAAATGCTGGCAGGCATATACATCTTTTTTGTCCCTGTTATCTTTTGACTTTGTAATTCTTGATCCCAATGGCTGATATAGAAGAGGATATCAACTTATTCATTTAGCGTCGTAGGATCCATATCTTTTCAGACAGACTCTATAATTAGGCATCAGCCCCATGGCAACTCCATTTAGGGTAAATCCCAAATGGCTTCACAATATCATGCTGCTTAGAGGCGACTCTGCCCTGTTGATGTTATTGCCTCTTGGAAGCTTCAGGACATTCCCAGTGTTTGGCAAAATCCCAATCTGCTCTATGTGGAATAAAACTTATTCAATCATTTATGCTTCCCAACAATCAAGCCCTCGCTTGTGTGGTCTATGTAGCTTTGTCAACTTTTCATAAAAATGTGAATACTTACGTTTTGCTCGAAACTTGAATCATACACTTCGAAAGTAAACGATTGTACTGTCTCTGTACTTATTTACCATATGCCTGTCGTTGTGAAAGATTTTTATTATGTTTTAAATGCATTCCTCTTCTCATGTTGCAGCTAGCGCAACAATCACAAATAGCTCATCGTTGAATGGCACAACAACAACTGTTTACTCCCCGAACTCACATGACCTGCAACTTTATGGGATTGTTGTGACAATACTCTTGTGTTTTATTGTATTTGGAGGCGTGAAAATGATCAACAAGGTTGCTCCTGCTTTCTTGATTCCTGTCTTATTTTCACTGTTCTGCATATTTATCGGGATTTTTGTTGCTCCGAGGAAAAATGCTTCAAGTAAGTGTCTCAAAACTGTCTTCTCACCAAATAAATTTCTTCCCCAGACATTTTATATTGGGATTTGTGTTAGTGCTAGTTGAGGCAGTTGTAGCATTTGCTAAATATTGACTAACCAGTTTTATCTTTCTGCATAAATTTCTAAAATCAAGGTGGAATCACGGGCTTAAGTTTGCATACATTCAGTGACAACTGGGGTTCTGCTTATCAGCGGACCAACAATGCTGGCATACCTGATCCAGATGGATCTATATATTGGAATTTTAAGTAAGTTTCTTTCTTTGCTTTCATTAATTTAAATTTCCTGCATTTTTGCCTGTAGCTATTCACAGTAATTATTAATTTGCATTCTATGTACATGGTCCAAGGACTCATGATTATTTCATTGTCGGGAGTACATGTTTGGCCATGGGATGAAGTGGTTGGGAACATTTGAGTTTGGGAGACATGTTCGAGTTCGAATGATTTTATTTTCCTTTGTTGATGACCATTTGGAAACGATATTCTATTTTTTAAGAGCATGCGTTGGATTTTTTGATGTTTGTTGGAAACGTGAATTCCCTGAAATTTCTATTCAAGGAACTTGTTTTATCAATGTTTGTTTTGATTCTAGCATCTATTTAGAAACTCAAATGTTTTTGGCTTCGTAGCATAATACCTGCCAATCTAAAGCAAGGGGACTAGGGTTCAGATGATTCTGGGATTTCACTTTCTCTGGGAGCTTGAACTGTTCAAAATCTTTAGCCTGGCAAACAACTGTGATGTTTGTTGGAAAATGATATAATGATAAAGGAAGTTTGAAGATGACTCAGGCATTCAATTGATACTGTTATAATTTCTTTTAGTAATCAAATTATGCTGATGACTTATGTTTAAATCTGTTCAACCAGTTCTTCAGGCTTCTGTTTGTGACAGGCTTACATTGAAACAACGAATTATGCGAATTGCTCCATAAAGTAGATATTGAGCAAGCTTGGTAAAAGATCAATCGTATCTACACTGTTATAATTTTGTGTACCGATGTTGAGCAATATTGTTTTGCTTTTGTCATGGAGAATTGCATCAGACCTCGCTATCCTCATACCTAAAGAGGATTCACTTTAGTTGGATTTGGTTTTTCTGGTGCACTTCTTCGCATGGTGTATGTTTTTTTTTCTAGAAGCCGTGTGGAATGGAGTGGAAATTTCTGAATCAGTCGGCTGTTTAGGAGTTTTTGAGTGCCAGTCCTGGGAATTACTGCTGAAGAGTAGACCGGTGTTTCTAGTGCTTTCGGGCTGTCGTCTCTCCCGTGTCCGTCTCACTTGCTTGTTATTTTTGGGTACTCAAGATACAGAACCTTTATCTGTAACACCCATATCAGTACATTTTTAGCACATGCAAGTTAGGCGCTTGCAATATACTTGCATTCTGTCGCTATAAGTTTTTTTATGGGAGCATTGACTGGTGACGTTTCTACTTTCTTACGATGATCTAAACTGGTCATGAAAATTATTTATACTGTTGGGTTATCAGAACTGAATCAGCCTTGCGTATCATCAGACCAGATAGTTTTTTGATCCATTAATGTGAAGCAGATATTTTATATCAGTGCTTACTCGTAAAATCTACTTACTATGTTGTGTTCATAACAATCATCTTATGTACTTTTCGCAGTGCATTGGTAGGTCTTTTCTTCCCTGCTGTCACTGGAATTATGGCTGGTTCAAATCGGTCAGCTTCACTTAAGGACACTCAGCGTTCTATCCCCATAGGCACATTGGCTGCAACTCTTACTACATCCTTCATGTACCTCATATCTGTATTGCTCTTTGGGGCATTAGCGACCAGAGAGGAGCTATTGACAAGCAGGTATCCATCTTTTATTGCTTTATTTAGCATCCACTTGTTATCAGGGAGCCTGGTTGTTTATATGCTTGAAGTTTGTAACGTCATCTTATCCAACATCGGATCCGGGTCTTTGGAAAAATGTGGATTTCTCTGATAATTTTTTAAATTGAAGATCATTTGTGATATTCCCAATTAGGTCATGAGATGACCGAGGAAAGTTTATCTCCTCATCATTAATCGAGTTTTATTGTGAAAGATCCACTTTTCTGACAGTTATTCAGATATTTCATTCCAAGTTTTAGCTGCTTAATTAATCGATTTTAGTCATTGACATGTAGGCTACTCACAGCTGAGGTAGCTTGGCCTATTCCTGCAATTATTTATGTCGGGATCATTCTATCTACTTTGGGCGCTGCTCTCCAGAGTTTGACGGGTGCCCCACGGTTGCTTGCTGCAATTTCAAATGATGACATTCTTCCTGTCTTGAAGTATTTTAAGGTTACTGAAGGGAGTGAACCTCATCTGGCAACTCTCTTTACAGCCTTCATTTGCGTTGGTTGTGTTGTAATCGGGAATCTCGATCTGATCACCCCAACTATAACTATGTTTTTCCTTTTGTGTTATGCTGGTGTGAATTTATCTTGTTTTCTTCTGGACCTTCTTGATGCTCCAAGTTGGCGTCCTCGATGGAAGTTCCACCACTGGAGTCTCTCTCTACTCGGTGCATCCATGTGTATTGGTATAACGTTTTACTTATTCATTTTAATTGCTTTCATGCACAAACCCTCTTGGAACTATATCTCAATTTAATGGTTTTCATGCACGATCATGTGCATAGTTTACTGTACATGATTTCTCAGCCGTTTGATAATTGGATGTTACACAGAGTTTACTGCTTCATATGCTGATAAATCATGTGCATAGAGTTTACTATCTATTATATAGACGATGAAAAAAATATCCTAATGCTCATGTTCGCTGATTTCTCCCCGAGAAATGTGTTGTTTAACTAACTGGAAATCTTTTTGGATGTGTCAAATTGACAACTGGAGCCTCAAAACAAAAGAGAAGAGTATCTCTATGCTTGGCTCAGATGGTTTCTTCCAACTGTACAGTGTTAGCCTGAGCAATGGTCTCAATTCTGCTAACCTATGGGTTCACCATCTCCGTCTTCTTTTACTCCCCATACTTCCTGACATTGGATGACCAAAATAGAGATTTCTTTTCGGCAAAGTGCATTTGTTTGCTGCTGATTCTTTGGTATATTTCTTTTTCCGTGAATTTTTATCTTCAATTAGCTCATAAATTAAGAAATTACATTTTTTTTAGCTCATTAGAGGGAACACAATTACACAATGGGCTCCAGCTCTACAGGTTGGGGAACTTGTAGAAAATGGTCTGTCTGTCTCTCTTCTAAATTATTACACTTAGCACACGTGTGGGGACTGTTACAGTTTTACTTCCTAGATAAGCATCTAACAAGTAAACTATAATATGTGCTAGAACATAGGAGGCCACTAGGTATCCCATTTCCATTAAAAACTACTGGCGCCATTGACAGCAAACTTTAATTACGATTAATACCTAAACCTAGTTTCTTCAACTCTTAGATAGTATCTTGTGAGAAAGAGGTGCAAGCTTTGATGTTGCATTGTTGAATTTTTCTTTTGTCTGTGCTCTGATGAATGCTCTTTTGCTTTGCAGTTATAATGTTCTTGATTTCTTGGTTATTCACTGTCATATCATTAGCTCTCGCTAGTCTCATATATTACTACGTGAGCATAAAAGGAAAGGCTGGGGATTGGGGTGATGGATTTAAGAGTGCATATTTCCAATTGGCATTGCGAAGTCTTCGATCATTAGGAGGTATGGACTATGTATTCTTAATTTAACTTTGCATCATTTTTCTGAACTGCAGAAACCGCTCTGGAATTTTCGTGGATTTGTCATATTTAGGTTCACCATTTTCCTGAGAGTAGTTTCTTTTCAGTTATAATATCAGCTCAGGTTGTCTCTCAAGAAGTGGATACCAGAAATTTGATTGTTTTTTATGTATGTTAGGTGCCGGTCGTGTGTTTCTTCTTTTAGGATTGAATTGATTTTGGCTCTTTGTGCCGAACCTTGAGGTGCTGACCAACTTTCTATAGTCTCCTTTCGAAGACAATATTATGTGAATAAATATTGGCGAGGCACCAATTTACAGAGTGTTCAAGTTGCACATTCTTAGATGCATCCGAATCACATGCATATTTCACCTGGTTTAGGAACATTTTTCTTCCCTCTTGTAAAGTTTCTTTTCCTCACTTTTTTCAGCCAATCAAGTCCATCCGAAAAACTGGTATCCAATCCCCCTTATATTCTGTCGTCCGTGGGGAAAGTTGCCTGAGAATGTTCCCTGCCATCCAAAGCTTGCTGACTTTGCCAACTGTATGAAGAAAAAGGGCAGAGGGATGACCATATTTGCGTCGATCATTGACGGAGACTACTATGAGCAAGCTGAGGATGCTAAACTGGCTTGCCATCAGCTCAGCACATACATCGATTACAAGCGTTGTGAAGGTGTAGCTGAGATAGTTGTAGCACCCACCATGTCTGATGGCTTCCGAGGTATTGTCCAAACCATGGGCCTTGGAAACCTGAAGCCAAACATCGTTGTTATGAGGTATCCAGAGATATGGCGTCGTGAGAACCTTATCCAGATTCCATCCACCTTCGTTAGCATTATAAATGACTGCATCGTTGCCAATAAAGCTGTCGTCATTGTGAAGGGCCTTGATGAGTGGCCTGGTGAGTACCAAAAGCAATATGGCACAATCGACCTCTACTGGATTGTGAGGGACGGGGGACTCATGCTACTCTTGTCCCAGCTGCTGCTCACAAAAGAGAGTTTTGAGAGCTGTAAGATCCAAGTTTTCTGCATTGCTGAGGAGGATACAGAGGCCGAGGAGCTAAAAGCTGATGTGAAGAAATTCCTCTACGACCTTCGCATGCAAGCGGAAGTCATTGTTGTGACAATGAAGTCATGGGAGGCTCATGTCGATGGGGCACCTCAGCAAGATGACTCGATGGAGGCATTTACAAGCGCACAGCGGCGGATTGCCGCCTATCTTGCTGACATGAAAGAGACATCTCAGAGAGAGGGTAAGCCTTTAATGGCGGATGGAAAATCGGTGGTCGTAAATGAGCAGCAGGTGGACAAATTCCTCTACACGACGTTGAAATTAAACTCGACAATTCTGCGGTACTCGCGCATGGCTGCAGTGGTTCTTGTGAGCCTCCCTCCGCCACCTGTGCATCATCCTGCATATTTTTATATGGAGTACATGGATCTACTGGTTGAGAATGTGCCGAGGCTGTTGATGGTGAGAGGATATCGTAGAGATGTGGTCACCCTCTTCACTTAGCTGTCGCTGGTTTTCGCGGCTCGCTCTTGCGATTGAAGTGAAATTCATCTCCACCCCTCTCTTACTCCATTTTTCCTCCAATTTAGGTGCTCCATTTCTCATTGATTCTTGAAATTGGAAATGATTTGTATCAAAGAAAACCTTGATATATTCTTTTTTTAACCCCCCCCCCCCATTGTGGGAGGGGGGGAATCTTTACCCTTTGCTCGGCTGGACATGCGAGCGCATAGGGCATAGGCCCTTGTGTAATACCATAGCTAGCTTGGTGGCGAAATGTACCGAATAACTCGAGCCTTGGCTGGGTTGCAACCACTGTTCCTGTTTACCGATGGTGGGGAGGAAGAAAAACGAGTTGGTCATCCGGGCGTGCATCTATTTTTCAGGGCATCAAGGAACAAATATTCACTCATGTCATCTCCTGGCCTGCAAAATTGGAACAAAACTGGACAATATGATCTTAGAGTTTTGACAAATGATGCATGAGAGTTGATGAGTTCGATGCTGACCAACTTTCTACTGCAGACAATATTATGTGAATGAATATCGGCGAGGCGCCCATTTACAGAGTGTTGAAGCTGCACATCCTTAGATGCATCCGAATCACATGTGCCTATTTCACCTCGTTTGGGAACGTTTTTTATTCCTCTTGTAAGTTTCTTTTCCTCACTTTTTTCAGCCAATCAAGTCCACCGAAAAAACTGGTATCCAATTCCCCTTATATTCATTCTGTCGTCCGTATGACTTTGCCCTCCAGAGTTTGCTGACTTTGCCAACCGTATGAAGTAAAAGAGCAGAGGGATGACAGACAATATTTGTTACTGCCATATCCTGCCTTGCAGCGGCAGCTCACGAGGCAGACTAAGCCGTTCAATCAGCTGACCCATTGCCTCTATTGCCCTCAACCCCGCGTAAAGAGTAGCTTCCCCTGTCCATTCTTGATCGCTCCTGATGCAGCCCCAGGAATGGGGTGGGCGGCACCCCTCTGACAAAAGAGAAGCGGGTCATTGATCGCCCTGTGATTATTGTTAAACGTTTACGTTTCAGAGACTTACAGATCAGACTGGTCGGCGACGTCGCCGCATCCATCTCAATGTGGAACAAAAAGATTGGACTAGGTTTGTGCATGTATTGGAACAAAAGTCGTCATAAACGCGAGAACCTCTACAGAAGCGACGAACGGGAGGCGCGCCTGTTGTTGGCAGGGAGGAACTGTCAGTCTCTTTGGCGACCAAAACCTGGATCGACGTCGCTTCTCGACCCATCTGGACTGGAATGAATTAGATACCCACGATCGAGGACGTCCCCTTCCGGCTTAGCCGGCATAGCTTGTGGATAACTCTGTAGGCAAGGATGGGCCCTTTGGTCCTGTCGCCGGCGTCACGATTTCTTCGTGAGCGCGGTGGAGAGGATTCCCCAAACGCCCGTCCGAGCCGCGTGAAACTCGCGGAAGCCCGCGAGAATAAAGAAAAAGGAGGCGGAGATTCTGCAGGACTCTCTCCTTATCTGTTACTCTCACGAGTAGTAGTACTTCTCACCCGCTCGTACTACCACTCTCAGGACAATTGGCGTTAGTACACTTACAGCAGTAGCAGCGGAAGTCCCAACAACCTACCGATCCGGATGATCGACGGACGAGGGGACTGAAGCAAGCTGCAGACCTCATCAGGCATTTCACTCGTCCTTTTTCAGGTGCCCATCTCTTCTACCACCATCGCAGTCGGCGACAGAAGGAGAATCCCTTCTTCAAGAAGAAGGGGCACGTAAATCGATAGGTAGGCGATACTCACCCTAATTGTGACGAAGCTCAATTGACATGGCATGGGTTTGCTAACTACCTTGCTTGTTAAAGGAGGAGAGAATGAAAGGAGTAAGAGGTTGAGGCCGTCCCCACTCCGCATCGTTGAGTCGATTAAAAAAAAGGAATAGGGGGGCTCTTGCTTGTCAACTTCCCCCGGGCCCACGAATAGACCGCAAGGACGCATGCTATAAATTTGGAGGTGATGACCAGCTCGGAGAGAACACAAGCAAGCTAGTTGACCTCACCTGGAAATTTCTCTGCGGCTTCTTCGTCTTCTTCGTCTTCTTCTTCTTCTTCTTCTTCTTCTTTCTCCTCGCCAATTCCAGCTTTCTTTCTTCTCAGGTAAGGACTCCCTGTCCTTCGTACGTACTGACTGCGATCAGGTTCCCAACTTTTCTGCGCGTGCTTCCATTCTGTACTCCTGGTCCCTCTTCCTTTTTCTCCGGATGAGTAACGACTACGTACGATAGATCGTTTCTTCTTTCTCGAGCGCGCGTCGGTCGATTTTCTCGAAACCTTGGCCTCATAAGCTTCTCGCTTGTAACTGGAAAAACGAGCATAGGGGAGGGGGGAAGGAAGAGAGGGTGGACGATAGAGGGCACGAGTGTGGAAGGAGTTAAGGCTCCTATTTTCATGCCCGTTTTACATAAACCCATCAGTTTTTACTCGAGTTGCGCTATTCACGATCAATCTCCGGCCAAATCTTTAGATCACACAAGGAGTTCTAGCGGAGAATATAGTAAACAGACTATTAAATAATTTCCCGGCTCTCTTTTGTCTTCTTTAATTGCAGCGCGGAGCTTTTGATTCGGCGTCCTCACCCAATTCGATTAGTCGATCGAGAATTGGCTCTGGGAAATGGACAGGGCGCAGGAGCTGGAGTGGCAGGAGGCACAGAGGATAGCCATAAGTGTGGACCTGGTCGCCACAGCTAAGCTCCAGGTCAAGTTCCTAGAAGCTGTGGACAAGAGGCGGTCCCTATATGATGGCCCTGTGCTAAACAGCGCGATCTACAGGTAACCAGTTCGCAGAATTTAGATTAGCCATTATTCAAGTATTCGTATTAGCCTCCCTAATTTATTCTGCGAGTGCGGACTCTGGCTACCTAGCCACATATAGCTAGCTACGTAAAGATTGCTCGGGGGGGATGTTGCCAATAATTCTTGCTCCTTATTGCTGGTTACTGCGTACAGTGCTGTAGAGAGAGTCTCCAATGAGCATAAGCTTTCCCATGCGAAGGGTGATTGGGTTGCTCTGCTGTCTAGACTAGTAATCCTATACATGTGTACTTGTTGCCAATTGCCAACGGACTGCATGGAGACTAACTAGCACAAATGTCAACGCTTGGTCAATGAGGATCATGAAAGTAGCTCTAAGATTTGTGCCCAACATCTCGAATTTTCCATACAGAATTTCCCTCAATCTACTGATGTATGGATGCTAAAACCATTAGGTACAAAAACTGCTGGCTTCCCCTGCTTGCAAAACAAGATGAATCAGAGACAGAGGTTCCTCTGGTTGTACCTCTTGACTGTGAGTGGATATGGCATTGCCATCGCCTCAACCCGGTAGGTTATTTTTTAAGAACTTTTCGTACACCTCAACTGTGTTCGTCACTCAGATTTACGACTTGTTTCCGTCTTCTTGTATTACCGCGTCTTTCTTGCGTGAAGGTCCAATACAAGAAGGATTGTGAGAGAGTTTTTGGAAGGATCCTGAGCAATAGACACGTGAAGTCTTCTGTTGAAGGACCTTGCCCTCGGGAAGCGGCTGAAATATGGCGGAAGTCATATCCTGATGAGCCTTTTGAGATTGATTATATTACTCCATTATCCTGCGGCGATGAGGAGGAATCTTCATCAGAGGTGGAAACCATTAAGTATGACTTGATCTCTGCTGTTAAGAGACAGAGTTCCTTCTACCATCAGGTAGCCCAAACAATTGTCACCCCCTTTCTATCTGTATCAATGATTGAATCTCTTAATTGCAATCTTGGACGAGAAAACAGATGCATGTGTTTCTAAGCAATCAAATAAAAGATGTTATCAATCTCCTTCTACCTGATGTGGATTTAGCTCTGTAAAATGCCTCAATCTTGACACATACTCTTCCATCTGTCTCTGCTTTCATCCTTGTTTCCAGGACAGAAGATTCGACTATATTGAGCTGATATATTATGATACATTCGCAGGAAATTTTGACATACTTTTCAGTTCCATCTGAATATATGGAGTGTTCCTCCTCATAGAAATTATAATACTCAACCTTTTGTACCTGCGTTCTTTTATGTTCACTGTTTCTGCTAACTTTGATGCTTTCAGTCGATTAGCAAGAGAATCACGAGAGATGATCCAATTATATTTTTTTTCGCTGGACAGGTATCAAGGCCAAGTATGCACGACGACCACTTCTTGAAGTATGCGTCTGCCAGATATAAGGGGTTCCTGCATCTAATGAGGAGAAGCCAAGAAAGATCGGTGAAACTGTTTCACGTTCCCACGTACGATATTGACCTTATCTGGCATGCTCATCAATTGCATCCTGAATCTTATTGCAAAGACCTCGTACAAGTTCTTGGAAGGGTGCTAGAGCATGATGACACAGATTCAGACAGATCCAAAGGGAAGAAACTTGATGTTGGCTTTACTGAAACAACAAGGCGGTGGGAGGAGGCCTTCGGCTTAAGGTACTGGAGGGCGGGGGCGATGAACAGAGGCAATATGCCGTCCCCAGTTACTGTCACACCACCGAAGTACATGTCTGAAAGCACCCTACCACAAGTCGAATATCAGAGGTACCTTCAGCTTCCAAAGGTCAAGGTTATGGAGGTAAGTTTGGGGATGCCTTTCTGGAATTTCTCTTGTTATTTCGATCTCCGATGTCAAAGCTTCTTCTCTGACAGAAGCTAGGAGACTTACTTTCCTTAGAGTAAGCACCAGAAACCACTGAAATATCAAAGTCATTGGTTTTAGACGATATTTTATAAGCGCACATTCATCCATTTTCCTTTGAACTGCATGGCGACCTCATCTTCATTCTTTATGAAGCTTATATCTATGATTGTGGCACTTAATGATTCATAAAAGACTTGTTATCTGGGGGGAAGTTAAAATTCGTGTTGAGTTTCTGTTGTATTCATTCGTGAGTTTGTATTTCTGTGCCAAAACGCTCCAATTCTCAGGCTACTCTACCCTCTTTTTTTCCGGAGAATTTGTGGTTATTAATGTTTCCATGGATGTGTAAATGAAAATTCATGCAAGATTTCTGTTAGATCCTAGGGAATGAAACTTTTTGCGATTCGAAGTCTCCTTTTATGTGATATTTCTGCATGCTTTTTAAATTTGTTAAAATGACTTGATCACCAAAAGAGAAATGGCCACATGTTACCAAAATTATCCATGTAAAAATCGCATTTTTTTTTGGCTCACTAGTTCATTTTCTCGGCAGGTCCTTTTGGAAGTTGTGGGGATAAAAAATTTACCAGATAGTCAGAAAGCCAACTTATCCGTTTCTATCAGAAAGAAACAATCAGATACATTTTTCGATGACAGTTGCAGACTTACCATTTTTTCTGAATGCGGCGTGAAAAAGGTAGCTTCTTTTCAGTGTGAACCCTGCGGAGATCTAATTTTGACGGTCATGTCCAATCCGAGCTCAAAATTGTCTATTACAAGACGAAGAACCATAGGGAAGACTGTGCTCTCCCTTTCAGATTTGGTTGACCTGGATTCAAACCTCTCAATAGACAAATGGTTTGAGTTGAAAACCAGATCAGGAAACGCAGACTCCAAGCCAATATATCTACGCATTGCTGCTTCTTTCACTGTTCCAGTTCCTGCACCCCACTTGCTTTACATGGCTGGATTGCATACGTTCTCTGTGGGATACTGCTTCACGCTTCACATAAATCTTCAATTGACTAGACGTTGGGCTTGTTTCCATGATGAAAATGGCAATGAAATCATCAGCGTTCAAATGAGGTACACATATATTATAATAGTTTCCATCGAAAAAATGATGCCTTTTCAACATGAGAACTGTTTTATGGTGCATGATAAATTTTGACATTTGAATCTTCGTCATATCTTCTTCTTGGAAGAAGCTGTATGAAGGTCAGGAAAACCAATACATCATTAGGTGTTGGAATTCGGTACATGCTGTTTTACGTTATAGTCTCTTTTTTTGAAAAAACTTTCTGCAGACTAACTGAAGATCAATAATTTGATCTTTCCTACTTGGAGGCTTTGTGAAAAGAATGGATAGGGAACTGGATATGTGACTCCTAGGAAATTCAATAGAAATGACATTTTTAACATGGAACTCTTTTTTTTACCGTCAAATCTACGAAGTAGTCTTGTAGGTGAAAACGAATTGCGATATTATCCCATTCGGAAGGTAGTATGTGAACGAGATAAATAAATGGATACGCTTTTTTTCCACAATTATTCATCACATCCCTGATGGACGATAGTAAAAACGTTTCTTCTAAAGTTGATCCAAATAAGGCGCGCCACTTTTTCGAATATTTTTCTTCTTTCACAATGGTCGTCTGCCTTCATGTTTTCTCTGTTCTATTTATCAAACATGGTAGAAAGCTCGGCCCCGGATCGATTCATCAGTATATAGCGTCTTTTGCCTGGGCAGAGTCATATTGAATCAAATGCAATTTATTGGACAAGGGTTGGTTAGCCGAAAGGACGTAGGATTTTGAGATGAGGCCATGTTCCATTAACCAGTGTCTGTGATGTTTACGTTTTTACTGCATTTCAGGAACCTGAAAAAAAACTTTAATATCTTGATCTGCTAAAAGTAGAGTCCTCCAACACGTTGCACAGCAGGATCAAAATCCTTGTCAATATGTGGGATCATGGCGCCTCCTTGATCCTTTGGAACTTCTACATGCCTCTTTACCTATGCATTGCTTTCGTTGTTTCCCTGTGCGAAATTCCTTTTCGAAAAGGCTATGAGAGGCGCTTTCGAAGTCGGGAATCACGAGCGAATGGTACCACATGTCTAAACTTAAAATGAGAAATAAAATTTGTGGCCATAGGCTGTGGCAATGCACATCTATCGAGGAAGGTTTGGAGAGAAACGTCTTTAGATGGCTTTCGCAGGTGAGCTTAGCATTTTGCTGATAAGTTACTGTATCGAGGATAAATCTTTCCTTGTTTATTTTACGTCGCTTTCTAGCTGCGTGAGATTTGGGTTCATCATGTCTTGATCGAAAATGATTTGGATCTGTTGGTGGGCTTCGTCAGGAACCCAAGGAACAGGAAGAACTCCACCTCGGAAAGGGAGATTGTCGCAGTGTCGAGACTGTCTAAGGATACTCGTGTGATGGCAGAATTGAAGGGTAATGTGTGGTCCTTTACCGACTATAATTTTTCCCTCGCACTGGAGAACTTCAACCAAGAAGGGCATCTCTTTGAGCTCAAAGGTGGAGGTATCCTGGTGAGCATCTTCCCCACCTTTGAGCTCCTCCCGGTCATTATCTCTTCATGTTTCTGTTGATGCTGAAGGACACCAATCTCCAATATGGTTTTCGGTTTTATGCAACCTGTGTTAGACATCGGAGGTTTTAGATGGCAACCGTGTAGCCTGGTCTCAGGGGCAATGAACGAGCCTTTAGTGCCTGGAAACGTCGACTTGGTTGAGGATAAGTTTCAGTGCCATTGCAGAAACGCGATGGCAAACTGAAAACGAAAAAACTATTTCTCCGTCTAGTCTTGTGATGACAGAAGCGAGAACTCACTTGGGAGCACTCTACGATGCTGGGTTTGAGTTGAAGTTTGGCTATAGAGTTCCTCACCTTTTCCGCTTGTGGTGATCTCCTGAGACCATTTTATTTTATTTGTCATTTACACGGACGGGATTGTCTGAAAGAGTCAGACGGAACATGACCCCGAGGAGCGTTGACGCTTTGAGGGAGGTCATTGGGTTAAGGTTCTGAGGATTGGGACGATGGAATTTCAGTGGCTGGATTGCAGCTTAATAGAATTACGACCAGAATCACTATGCGGGTCTAGCCGCACAATCTTGTATTTGTGATAATCCTGCAGGCAGCAGGCAAATGCGCTTGAGGACTTCTTCCAGGCCCAGTAATGGGGACTTATCAAAGAATGTACGGCATACGCATAATTCTTTCTTGGCTGACAATGCTTTTTTTTTTTTGGATAGATGAGGCTCTACCTCGGTAGAAAGCTGGAGTTCGATCCTAGAACCTGTATGAAGCATCGGACAAATGAGGATGACTTCATAACAGTTGTTCAATTTTCCTCAGAGCATCCATATGGGCAGGCTGTGGCTCTGATCAATGTGAAATCTGGCTTTGTTAAGGTAGACAGTTTTTAAATCCTCCATGGCACTCGCTTCTTCTTGATTGCACCTTGATAAATCACCTACCTTCTTTCTTTCTCTGTTTTCTTTCGACGTGAAGGTCAGCGAAGACTGGTTCTTGTTGCCTGGGATCTTGCTGGGATTTATACTTTCAAAAATGAGGAAGAACGGCTACGATTTCATTGCTCCCAGTGATGCGAGCACTGTCACAAAAGCTGCTGCGTCTAACGTGAATTCCGAGGGAGGCGTCTCGGGAGATCTGTCTCTGCACTCATCGGGAGGAGCTAAGGCAGTTCAAGCAGAGAAGAGTGCGGGTTGTGGCTCTGAGTGTGGCGGTGGATGTGGAAACCAGAAGCACCTCAATGGCCACAAGCTTGAGGATGGAGAAAGCACAGATGGCAACAAGTGCGTCGGTGGAGGATGCTGTGGCCGATGTAGGGGCGGCTGCGGTGGCTGCGGCGGCGGACGTAGAGAAGCGGCGGAGGGCGGCGGCTGCGGTGGCTGTGGCGGCGGACGGGGAGAAGGGTTGAAGAGCAGTGGTTGCGGCGGCGGCTGTGGCGGCGGCTGCGGTGGCTGTGGCGGCGGACGGGAAGAAGGGGTGAAGAGCGGTGGTTGCGGCGGTGGCTGTGGCGGCGGCTGTGGCGGCGGATGCGGCGGTGGCTGTAGTAACGTGGTGAAGGGCGGCATGTGAGGGTGTGGCGGCGGAGCTTTCAGAGGATGCCTCGTTGCCTCAGCATGCGGTGTGTCCCTTTTCATTCGTGCGTGTGTTGTCTCCAACAGTGTTACGTTGGTGGGTGGTGTCCATCGTAAATGTGGGAATAAGGATTAGGGGAAGCTGGAATAAGAGATGGAAACTACCAACAGCGTCCCGGCGGTGGCTTTCATAGCCGCTTCCATTAATGAAGCCGTCTGTAACTCCTGTTATTCGTGCGAATACACTATGCGTGACCTTTTAACTTCAGAGCGAAGACCTGTTTGCCCGCACGAGAGGGCTGTGGATGATAGGGGAGAAGAAGGCCGGGGGGCGGTTTGCGTGAGGTGCGGTCTGTTCTACGCTGTGGGTCGCGATGGATTTGGCCGACAGCGCAGTGTCGTCTCTCCGACGAGCGTAACAACAGATCGCGACTGCGACAACATGTCGCGCGGTGCGGTAGAGCTTCTTCATCTCGATGAGCTGGCATCCCGGATTGGTGGTCGATTGCGCACATGATTTTCAGATGAGAGGGAGACGACGACCACCGCCGCAAATCCACATGATTTTCAGATGAGAGGGACGACGACCACCGCCGCAGCTACAAATTGATATAGAATACGTCCCATGCATTTGACTGGTTCGGGAAACAACACAGCACCCGCTTCCGCGTGGGTGTGGCGAGTCGGGGAAGAAGGCAAAGGTGGTGGCGGATCGCACGGGCGAGGAGATGAGTCGATGGAACGCGGCCTGATCAGCTGATGAAGATAATGGAGGGGTCGCAGCAGCACTCGTCGATCAGGCAGCAACAGCAGACCGCAGCCAGGCTGTCACCATCACGAGAAAAGCGCGAAGTGTCGTCGTTTAGGGTTGGGAGAGGGACGTTTGCTCAGAAACCAATGGACAAACAGGTTGAGAAAGTGGGGATCACGGATCCGACCGTAGTCACCGATGGACGCATAACAGTTTGTGAAGGGTGATGGGTGATGGGCGAGGGGCGATGGGCGATGGGTGGGTAGTACGCGAGAAAACCAGGACGCGTAGTTCCGAGGGTTACCAGGGACCGGCGTAAGCGACGGACGGACAGATTTCTTGAGACCTAGAGAACGGAAATGGGTTGGAGGCGTGCTGGGGAGACTTACCATCCCTCGAGGAAGCCGGATGATCGTTGGGGCGGTGGTGGGGCAGCGTACTGCGGCGGCGCCATCACCGGTGGGCCCTGGTAGTACCCTGTCATGTATTCAGTCGTTGACTTACTGTGTTATATTTCTGCGGTTCAATTCTTTGAGATAACAGGCAGAGTGGCAGGCGGGATGAAATCAAGAAAACATATCTCCTCCTCTCTTGATTGATGCCGTCTAATTTTCAACACGTCCATTCATCCTTCGGAAGAAATTAGACTCGTAAACGCTCGTACCTTGCGTGGGGTAAGGGTACGGGTAGGGGTAGCCATGCTTCGGATCCATCCTCACGACGACGGAGGGTGGGGGGAGGGGGAGGGACGATGGTCGCTGAGGGTGGTCGGAACAACACCAGGTTCTTAAGACAACAAAGCGAGAGAAGAATAGGAGGGGGGAGCAGCGGACATGGCTATTATAGGGAAAGGAACGACGGATGGACTGAAAGAGAGGAGAAAACGGGGCGAGGTGGTTGGGGAGTCCGCGGCCGTTCCGTAGAGAGCTCCGACGGAAAAATGGAGAGGCCAGAGAGAGGGAGAAGCCGGGCAGAGAGAGCCAGGGGTTCTACTGTCCGACTCGGCAACGACGCGCGGGAGACGACGATGAAACGCTCCCCCGGAAGACGGGCTTGCCACGTCGGGAGGGGGAAATGGCTACGACCATTAATATTTCTTTTCTGTGGGGCCGATGGAAGAGACTCCACAGCACACACGTCCGTTCGTGCATCTGCCCTCGTCTACTCCTCCGAGAGACGGCTCGGATTCGCCGCCCACCTAGCGCTGCCTCCCTCGTAGTGCCTACGTTACCCGCCTCTGTAGAGACGGGATGACGTGGTGCGGCCCCTCCACGCAAGTGCGCGAATGCGAGCAATGTGAGAGAAAAGCGCCATTCTTCCCCCTTCAGCTGCTCTGAGGGGAAAGTCGTGCCACCGCGGCGGCATGTTCGTCCAGCGACAGATTGACGGCCCATGTTTGTCGGTGTTGTTATGCGGACCTATGCCCGCCGGTGCCACCCTCTGCGATGCCCTTAACATCTTTCCATCAGATAGCGATCGAGCTGCCCGCGTCGACGGCGACAACAAGGCCGGCCAGATCTTCCCAGTCGACCCTCTCTGCGTCGTTCTTGTCTCGCCCGAATGTCTAACTCACGGCGAATCGAATGCTCCTCGTCACTGCCATTCCATATCAAACAAAGTCAGCTAGTATATCAGAACAGCTTGACTAGCCAGCGGGCAGGAACCAGTCGAGATAGCCTTCCATTTTCCCTCCCTCTTTCGGAGAAACCTTCTGCGACCCCTGAAATCGGCGGCGGTTGGGATCAACTCCAAACAACCGTTAGCGAAACCATGCAATTACGTTTGCTACTTGGAGCATATGGTTCGGTCGTACCTGTCCCTTCGCCCTAGATTTTCTACGCCACCCCCGCTTGAGGCGCGTTGGACGGCGCCGTGACGCATGCAACGGCCATTGACGGTGTCGGAGTCTCCCGAGGCGGCGCGTCGACGGTCATCCCGCCCAGCTGCGGCGCGGACGGCAGCGGTGGTGGAGCAGCGGACGAGAGGGGCTCACAAGGGCACGGCCAGGCGATGAATGTGGGCACCTGGTCACCCGGCATTATCACCGGGCAGCTCCCGCTTCGCTCCTCCTGCATCACATGCTGTGCCCGTCGGATATAAAGAGAAAAGGAGGTCACGTTAGTGACATACTCGAGGTATATTCCGCAGGATCTCCCCTCCGTCGAGCACCCCCCACCCACCTCCCGGTCGGGTGTTGGCGCGGAGAGGAGGGCCCCCAGCGTGTCTACCTCCCTGCCTTTCTGCCTTTATCCATCCTAGCGCAGCTCGACGATGGTGGCGCTACGATCAGGGACGGCCGGGCAGGCAGTGGGCGCGGACCCCGACACAGCGCCTCCCTTCCCTACGTCACGAAGCGCATTCAACTAAACTAAAATGGCCTGCTGGATCGCATATCCTACCTGCACCACACCGTCTCTCCGATCTGAGACACACCCCACTTTGCCATTCTAATTAGTACAACCCAACAAGGCCCACTTCTAGGCATGTTTGGGCAATCTTCTAGCAGCATTCGAATGAAATGTTGACCTCGACGGGTGACCAGACCGTGGAAAACGAAGCTAGCACGACTCCACCAGCATGAGAGACAAACCCGCGCCTCGAACCGACCGTGTATAGATATATAGTTGCTTAATGGTCGTGATTCTTGGCGTCCAAAACCGGCGGCAGACAGTTAAGTAAAAATAGATCTAGCTATCGAATCAGTTCCCCATGTTGTCAGTGTACCTAGAATTCTTCTGTTCACCCGATGCCGCTACTGTTAACAACCACCCCACGATCCTAGACAGTGTATCCCCCGTAGACCCGAAGGCAGACAACGCACCTGATTCGGGACCCCGGCCTTCGCAGGCGGGGAAGGCACACCTCGGGAACCACTGTTGAGGCGGCTGCTGTCCTCCTCCTCGTCTCCTTCGCGCCTCCGGCGAAGAGGCCGGAGCTTCTCCCAGTGGTAGAAGCAGGAAAGCGCCCCGCTGAGGCAGAACACGACGATGAGCAGAAGCGCGGTCCCCAGCGGAAAGCCCAGAGTCGGGCGCGAGGAGGACGTCGGCGCCGCCTCGGAGCCCTGGCTCTGCCGCCGGTACTGGTCGTTCATCGTCGTCAGTTCTCTTCCTCCCTGATTTCTGCAACCTTCGTGCTCCGCACCACGTCGTGCTATGCTGTCTTTGTGTGCCGCCGCCTTCCCGTCTCATGTGATTGACGCAGTCAGGGGCCCTGCGGCAGGACTCCGCGAACGCAGACAGGAGGAGGTACCCTCCGGAAGAGAAGCGTAGGACGGATAAATGAGCCTGTGAATGGTGGTGTTCCCCATCCCACTCCCTGTAGTATTTCTATTGCCGTCGAGCACTGCTCCCCGTCGATCGGCATCCTCGTCAAAAGAGACGTACTTTACGCTGGTTTTACGTGGAAAGAGTGGAGGTGGGAGGAGAGAGAAAGAGAGAGAGGGAGAGAGAGCACATAAAGCCGGCGTCATCGTTCCCCCAGCACTGCAGTACTCCACCGCACCGACAAGGCCTTACGAATTCCGTGGTCCCCTCGGCACGGCAATGCGGCTGCTAGCCCTATTTGGTGAGTAAGGAAGGTCTCGGGAGCTATTTCCGAGGGCTAGCTCGGGCTCAGGCGCCGAATGAATGCCCTTCTTTGTCTACCGAGGCCACCATGTAAGAAATGGACCCTAATGGGGAGTACACCCAAAGGGGCCGTCATGTGACCGGCTCTTTTCTGGGTTGGTCCACTCAACTTGTGCCTTCGTACTGCCCCGCACGAGCGGCAGTAGAATCTGTCTGCAAATCGGAGAATTGATCGAAACCCAGCGAGTCGAGCGCGATCGCACCAAAACGGGGAGCATGGAAGCGCAGATCAGCGGCTACACTCCCATGACGACGATGCTCGCGCTCATGGGTTGGAAAAAAGCGTGTGAGGTACCTCTGCAAACGATAATCATTCAGCGACTACAAGCGGATCGGCTTCATGGGTGTTTTAGAGGAGAGAGGAGAGCACAGAGCTCCCCGTCTCCTGGGGGTGACGAAACGACTCCGCTCCGACCTTGAAAGGCACCCGTAGGAAGGATTACAAATGGCATTGCATAGCGTCTTATTCTCTGCCATTTATTTGCCACGGCGTCGTCTGTTATTCTTACCCCCTCGTCTATACAGTAAATCTACTCGTCTGAGAATGCTGAAAACAGACTGATCGAGCGTCGCCGATGGAACTCTATCCGTTGTCTTCGTCCTCATCCTGTGCCTGTTTCCCTCCATATGATGCCGTGGTGTGGGCAACGCTGCCAACCAGCCGTACACAGAAAACAACGGACACCGCACAATCGGGAAGCCACCAGCAGATGTCAAAAGCGTTCCATCAGAGTTCCTGAATCGAGTCGGCGCCGTCAGTAGTTGACCTTCGGACCCTTGAATCTTTGTCGGCGTTTTTCGCCATCACTGTAAGGCATCCCTTCGTCCCCTTCAATCTTGGACCATATACTTATGCTAAAGCTAAAATTTTGGGGGGGTGCGAGGTGGATGCTACTGGTTCGCGGTCTGCAGAAGAAGTCCCACTTATTGCTCTCGGAACCGTCGCCTAGTAAAGTAACCACATATACCTCCAAATTCTTAGGCTGGGAAATGTGGATGCATGGAGATGTATCACAGACATCCTTCACTGTAAGTAGATAAGACAAGTGTCATGAAGGATATGAACTTCAAAGACCACCTTTCAAATACACATCTGGGACTTGTAATGCTCAAACCCCGGAGTTATACTACCAGAAAACTAATTAAAAAATAATAATTAATTGAACCACATTTCGTCGTTGTCAGTGCAGACAGAGCTTCAAGAAGGAATTCACCATGGATCTGAGCCCGAAGCTCAAAATGGCTGAAAACCAGCGTACCACCTCCCATCTGTCATAAGCATAGTGATCTATGCTCGCAGAAAGTTGGCATTCACCATCCTTCGGAAAACAGAAGATAACAAGTGAGGCTTCCAACTTTGAAGCGAATCATACAAAGAGTTGGCTTGGGATTAGTATTATCTTCTAAAACATGGCCTGTATCAGGGTTTAACTAACGTAAACGAGGGCAAAAATGTATAGTATGAACAGAAAATCGAACCACACAACAACTATATCCTCTAAAGGCATCATTTTATGCAACTTATTTCACAGTTATTTATCAGAACTACTTTGATGAACCTTAATTGCATATAAGCATCATATGACTGTCAATCCATGCCAACAGAGAATTTAGATTGATAGCTCAGAACTTGAAAAAGGAAAGCGTCTCACCCCTTCAACCCTAAGAACCATGCTTCAAAATAGTCTTTGATCATATTATTAACCCACCAATTTCCATAATTCTTAATGAAAGAAGACAAAAACCTTAGTACGGGAATATAAACAAGACGGGTTTTCAAAAGGCTGAATCGTGTCTAAAGGGCATTTATCCCGGCTGACTGATGAAGATCAGGAACTGTACAGGGGCTGATTTCCAATTCTACGCTGTCATTTGCTAAAAACCTAGTAAGAATGCTTCTCAAGACACTCCTCTGTAGTACAACCCACCATCGAGTGCAAAATTGTCATCTATTTTTTGATTCCCATGGTCCTTCATAACGTTCATAAACTCACCAAGATAGACGGTGTCGTAGTGGTCATGAGAGGGTCAAAACCAAAATTTGTGCAGAAGCTACTGTGTTGCTTTCCTTCTGAGGAAAAATGCATTGAAAATATGTCTAAGTTGTTTCCCATGAAAACATATGTGCCAGCAATATTAACTAGTAACCACCAAACAATGGAGCCAGAAAAAGGTTCCGAACATTGTTTCATAATGATTATTTTTTATTGATTGGTATATGGTTGAGCCGATGTCCCAGAAAATGAGATAATGCTGTCAATATCTAAGAGAAAAAAATCTGGTAACCATGCTTTGGTTATACATGACTCTCCACCATAAATTATGATCCCATTACATCCGATTAAACTGCTCTCATTGACGTAACTTTTGAATCCGGGGGAAATCACATCAGATTCTGGTTTTCCTTTAATGATTCATAGCCTTAAATATATTCCAGTAGATTCGCATCATTGACATAGAATACATAAAAGATCGATTTTAGGGGTGACATGAGCAAATCATAGCATGCTCGTTCAATAAAATTTTCTTTCTGATCAACTAGAGTCATGTCGTGTACTTTACAAATGTTCAATCACTGCAAAGCATAGGACAATTGCAAGAGATGCATAAAAAACAGGCAAATAATACAATCAAAAAACAAACCTTTCCAACTGAAGTGCTGGTATTCCTTATGTAATAGGAACAACGACCTCAAGGTTCTTCAGAGGTCTCCATCCTCGAGGGTAAAAAAGATCTTTTGCCTCCAGATGCAGGTGCCAATTCATGATCAAAGAGCAACCACGGGGTATGCCCTCCATTTGACTTTCATCTTCAACTATCTGCTCTATAAAGGTGGTTTCCTGTACATATGTAAAGTTAAAAGGGATTAAAATGGAAACTAGGAAGCAAACCTCAAAGTTCTTTCTTATACCGTTGGGTGACAAATGGCCACTAGGGCCATAACCTCAGTGGATGATGAGAGAATGACGATAAAAAAGAAGAGAAAAATACAGATGACCAAGGCAAACAAATTTATCCAAATATTTTAGGGTATTTAGACCCCTCCACTGCAATGGCATGGAAAAAAAGTCCAATCAGCAAAGACAGGAATCTTCCTCCACTGCAACAGAATCCTCAGATGTGGGGGCGATCAATCCTGAATGCCTACTTGTACCGATGGACCTTCTGGCCCAGTAACTTGGCTCCTTTTCCTTCTCTTACACTCTCCTCTCCTCGAGCCATTTGAACTGTGTGAGCCTAAGGCGAAACTGGGACCTCTTTGAAAAGGTGACAAATTCCTTTTCAGAAGATATTAATATCCTCCGTATTGTCGTTCAATCAAGGGGAAGTGTGTCTTTAGCCTGACTTCCTTCAAAAGAGATGGAGAAATGCGGAACGATTTCCTTTAAAATCAAGGTATGCATGGGAAAATTTCTCCTGGGAGGCACCTTATGAATGGTGTTTCGAATAGCATTAAGGATAATATCCAGAATGCGTAACTTACGCGGGGAGGAAGAATAAACTATGGTATAGTTGTTCTTACTAAGATTTCTATCAGGTCATTCGATCACTTTCTACATTAAGTTAGATAGACAATGGGCAATACGCAAGTCATACTTAGACTTTGGCCAGCATTGGTCAAGAATGGCAAACCATATACCATCTGTAGCCTTGTTTTGCATGCCACACCATCCAGGGTATCAGGAGGGGAGGGATCGATGCATTCTTCCAAAGGAGATTGGTACATCTCCAATGTTAAAAAGTGAACCTCTGACAGATAGGCCCACTTTTTTTGAGACTGTAAGATCCTCAAGTTTGATTCAATGCCATGGGGACAATGTAATGTATACGGAGTCTTCTTGAGAGGTCATAGCTATGGCTAATATAAATTTCCACCACTCCAATGATATTTTCTGACAAAATATTTCACATAAAAATCGCTCTCAGGGGGCTCCCACCCTTTGCCATCCATATCGTCAGGGCCACTCTTGGTCTCATCATCACATCAATCCTAGTTTCTTATAAGTGACTTCTTCATTCGAATTTTCACTATTGCATATAGACTAATACTCAGCAGTCCTTCAGGAAGTACATGGACGGATGATCATTTTTCATGTTTAAGTCTCGTCCAAGGCATCATCATCAGGCTATCAAAAAGGTTATTCCGTGATAGAGATATAATGGACAGGCCATTCTGGCAATTCAATGCCTCCTCTGAGGTACCTTTTAATGGTTTGATGGACGCAATAGCTGAGGAAAATAATTATTTTCATTATTTTCCGGAAAACCACTGTCCCGAATAGGATTCCAATCGAGGCAGCCTATCTTTGGAAGGGCATTTCATTTTCTTTCATGAGGGAGCCATATCTCCTTGTGCTGGATAACTCCCTTCAACTCTTTCAGGAAAAACGAAGCAGAAATACCTGTGTTTCTGTCAGCCGTTCACGCAGAAGAACCTTCACTACTTCACTAGCAATCAAGAGATCACAACCCTAATAACTAGAGGCCTCTAAATCCAACAGAATTTCCAAAGGAGAGAAAAAAAGGAGACAAAAATGCAAACCACGCATTCCTTACAAGGCTGGATATGCTTACCTCAAAAGTTAGCGACCATATCCTCCCAATAAACCAGCGTGACTACTTCCAAAGTCTCATGAAACAAAATCCAAAGACCATTCACCTTCAGTTCCCACTGATTTATACATGATTTGTCATTTCATCACATTCCCGATGTCTGAAACTGTTTCTACTGCAATCATAATGATCTGGCTTACTTGGGAATCCCAACTTCAATAACATAACAATGTCTTCACTTGTTGTAATGTTTTCTACTTTTTCTTCCCACGGCCAATAAAACTGGGAACTTAGCTGCTAGAGATTGACCTGTCCAAGGTGCGTCCTCACAGAATCCTAAAGATTCCACATTACTCAACTAATAAACATTACTCAAGAAAGGTGACTTCATGTAAAATGTGCTATAACGGGCACGCAAGATGCCCAGTTTTGACAGTTTCTCAAATATTTTCTCTCCGTAATCAGTGTCAATATGGAAGGGCTTTCAGCAAATCCTCAAAACCACAATGCCAATGAGGTTGATAGATATTATGACACAAGACCCTTATGCCGGATGCAACAAGGGGCACTGACCATTGGTGCAACAGGAACTGCTGCTGCGCGACCAGGATCAAAGGCAGTCTGCAACCTGCTGCAGAACAAAATGGTGCCAGATTTCCAGAAATGTGAAAATTAGAGGCCGGCAACAACTGGAGCAGGCAGCTGTGGACGGTTCTGACAGCCTTGCACAAGTGAGAACGGTTGGAATGGACCACAGAAGTATGCAAGACAAAAAAGGTGGTAGCAATAGAATGGGTGGGCTGCAGCCACTGGAGATCTGCAGATGGATCGTTGATGGTGGAGTGTAAGAGAGGAGGGATGGCAAAGCTTAAAAGCATGAACAGGGAAGCCGGAACAAGAGCTCACATATCAAACAGTGGTGGGTCGATGAGTCAGAAAGGTGAACTAAAGCACTGAGATGGCGGGGGATAGGGAGAAAACTTACAACCAGGAACTTTGATTCATATGCAGAACAGACAACAAGAGACCCAAATGTCTTTTCAAATAAGGGACGAACTATAACCCTTAAAGGACTAATTACAATATTTCCAAAGAGCATAATCACAACTCAGCCTGAAGACCCAACCAATCCTGACACCCATAAAGAAAGCCAATTCACAGTGTACTATTTGCTAGATCGGCTTCCTGGTGCTCCATCCAAACTAGAAGCTGTTGGAGGCTTAGTTTCAATGGAACTCCACCAGACGTAGCATCACTCATAAAAACATTTTAAACTGGTTAGGATCCCACCTTGTTGTCCTCGACACGTGTGAACCCTTGTTTAGAAGGCTACACAACAATCATCAAAAAATTCATATAGAGATTAATGGGACCATATTACACTAATAATCAATTATAGCAATTAAAAATTTGTTTAGAGCTAAGATGAGAAGGCTAATAGCCTAAATGTTCTCAAATTCCCAAAGAAGCAATACAGCATCAAAATGAAGAAACACCTTGCTGTCATTGCTGTCATGCTCGGAGTTGTATATATCATACGTTAGGTTGGCTTAATAAACTTTGTTGTGGAGTTATTTGGTCTCCTTATCTAAGTATTCATGATAGCCAAAAGGTCTCAAATTCCCAAAGAAGCAACATACCATGTTTTGCTATCATGAGTAGTTAGATGGGGGGCCCAACTAAAAAAAAAAGTTCATTAAGCCAACATACAATAAGGCCCTTCTAATTTCTAGGAAAGAGTCAAGGATTTATTTAGACCACCAGCAAACACATGGACTTATTGAGTGAAGATTAGCATCTTCATTAGAAATCAACACATTATCATTTCTGAAACTAGGTCCACTACTAGAATGCATATCAATATAAGGAAAAGGACTTTTCTGCCTCCGATCTCCTTGCTGAGCCACCTGACCAGTTCTCAAAGTCCCATGGTTCATCATTTACATTCAAACTCCTAGAATCTAACCTCTAGTCAAAATAGAAACTTAAAAGGATACGTAAATTTTCTTTTTAGACATAATTTCCAACAGAATTATCACAAGAAAGACAGCCCATTAAGCTCTGGTAAACAAATAATCATGTCAGCCATGTTAGGCCTGCCTTGATACTACCATAAATGTATTGAAAATTATGTTTGTTGAGAAGCATTACAAATATGACTCAGAGAATTTGATGAAACAAATTCCCTCCAGCATTGGGTTCCCAATTACTAGACCTTTCCCACTTGGATTCATGGAAACCTCCCAGGAACAGAGACATTCCCTACCTATGCAGTACATTTTCATGAGGTGACGAGAAAACTTGAAAATTTCGGAGATAATAACATAGAAAAATCAAAATTTTCACTTGTCATTGCACAAGACGTAAGCATGCAAAAGAAAACAGGTCAAAGCCTAATCAACTAAAATGCCACGTCACATTCTCAAGACGATCTAGAGACAATCAAGAGGATCTATAATGGTAAGAAAAGTAGAAAAAAAATGGAGAAAGAATGAGGAAAGAGCAAGACACACTTGAAAACCTTCCTTCACGGTATCAAGTTGCCTAATTCTCTCAGCAGTGGGTCGGTGCCACCTCTTGGAATCCCAAAGTATGGTGCTGTTGAATGCAAACCCTGACATATCAACATGGAACCTTCGAAGTCGCTTGCTCTTCTCATTGGTGTGCCAACCAATTACTTGACTTCCATTACAGACTGGACCCTCTAGGATTACCTTGTTTTTACTCTGAGAAAGCATCGCAACAGGCCAAGTGCCAAACCTCCTTCAGAAAAGACATTCAAAGGAAAAGAAAAAAAATTAGCTTTCCATTAAGACAGGAATGAGATAACCGGGAGCACAATTATACTCCAACCTCTTCTGAGGCACGAAAGAGAGAGAATCGGGAGCAAATGCCTCCCAATCTTTTTTTCCCAATTAACAGGAACAAACCTTCCCTTAACTTTCAAGATTCATCAATTGACCGAATGATAGTCTCCTTTATCATCTATGGTCTTTTATTGATGGGATAAAATGAAAAAGAAATTCAATGTTTCCTATACCTCAAAACTTGAATTCCAAATGAATCTATATGAATATTGCAAGTCCATTTTCTCGACAGTAAACTTGCCTTTTCCAGATTGTTTTTAGATCAGAGATGGGGAAAAACATATTAAAAAAAACGTTTGACAATAATGCTTAATGGATATAAAGATCACTTATTTTCACAGAAATGAAAGCATTGTCCAGAATGCAGTCCATCAACACAGGAAGCTGCCCTTTCTAATGACCATATGAATACGCACAACAAGTACTTCAGAGGATGTAATACAAATAGGCTCTCACGACTGGCGAGCATAGCAGTCTGCAAAACGGCTGAAAATATAAAGAAGAGACACACAGCAAAATCACAGGAATCTAAAAGTAATTAAGGCAAGTCACCCAAATACAATGCAGAAAGGGCATCAGTCTGGCGTTGGCCTCATTTTCCAAGCTAACTCCTTGATTGATTGCAAACACTATCTACTGAAAAAAAGGAATAGGAAATACTAGCTGACAGGAATGAAAAGGGTATGGCTGAAATATCCTGGATAAACTAGGTCAGTTAGTCAAGAAAGAACAACGTTCTGTTACCCATGATCTAGTCGTATACATCAATCATTAAAAAATCATGTTTGATATGAAACAAGGATTTTGGAAATTCATGCAGAAGAGTCCACCATCATCAACCTAGAAATAGGTAGCCCATAGCTATAATCGAAATTCAAGTGGAATTTTCACCACCTTCAGAAAAATAAACTACAAATAACATGTAATGAACGTCAATGTTATATTTGGGCAAAAGATCACACAGGATCGAAACTAGGGATAAATATTATGAATAGAAAAAATAAAAGAATTGGTATAGTCGCATGAATTACAGTCCGTTGCCCGGCTGATTTATATTCCTTAATGTTGCCTGACTTTAAGTCTCTAACATCAATGTTGAATATAGGTATATTGTTGTTGTAACCCATAAATTAGGGTCGATAGATGGCCTTCTACTGGCAGTGCGAGAGCAACCAAATATCCTGATCTTCATCCCACAGCCTCCATCACTCCACATTTTATAAGTAGTCTACATAACAGCAGAAGTCCAGATGCAATTTCCTGATGGTGTCTGCAAGATCCAATTTCTAGTTTTCTATTCAGACAATATGGACTCATCCTATGAAAAAAAGTAAACCACAATTACCTTCACCGATGTTTGAAAATGAAACCCACGAAAGTGTTTCTAAAGAGGCGTTCAACTCTTCATCATCACTAAGTTCCACAACAAGTATGTCCCATATTCCAATTTCAGTTGCAACTCTGGAAATTGAATAAATTAAGACCTCATTCATTTCTTTTTTCCACTGCTATCAGCCACTTTGCACAGTCAGTATAGAACATTAGATGCAACGTGAAAAGTTATGGGGAACCCTGCGAAAGCTTACAGATTGCCAAGTATACAGATTCATCTATCAGGAGTAGCACTACCCATCATCATATTCCACAAAGTTCCTCACAAGAATATATTATGCACACCAAATTCAATGTTTCAAGCCATTCCAAAAAAAAAATTATACCAAACAGAGGAGTGATGTTCTTGTGTAAACAAAACTTACAAATGCATATTTTCTTCAAATATTTTTTTGACTAAACTCAAGGAATACTCTAGAGGTTTGTTAATGATTTTGTAGAACACATTCAAAAACTTTTAGATCCAAAACAACCTGGAAACGCTTCTTCTTGAGCATCATCAAAGAGAAGAAACAGGGAAAACAGATTGAAGACAATGTGTTACGATAGGACATTTGTCAATATATACATTCTTCTCATCATAATCATACAGAATACTTGGATTTCATGATGTTTCTCATCTGCTTTAACCTATGTGAAGCTGTTTCTCGTCCTCTCTGAAGTATATATGTTCTAAAAACATTTCTGCTTCTCTGATAGCCAAAAATCCCCCGTTCTTTTACCATCTACTGCCCTTAGTACTTGAAATTTTCCCCTATTAGTTTCTCTGGATGGCTCTCTTCTCTGTTTTACCTTACTGCAGCTGTTTCTTCTCCTCAGTAAATGCTACCTTCTGCACTTCTCTTGACATATTTCTTTTTCTGATACACCTTGATTCCAGCTTTCGCCTTATCTAGTATGTTCTGTGTCAAGTTTCTGAGTTCTTTACGATGGTTCGTGTAAATCTCTTGCCAGGGTTCACATCAATCAGAGTACATAATTATTTGAGCAATGCACTCTTCATGATCCCGTCCAGCTTTTTGAAGCCCAATTTAAACTGCCACCACTTTGAAGCTTCTAGTTACGAAATCATTCCCCACCTAAGGCTGTTGTGAAAATTCGTATTAGATGTGTAGGTGTATTTGTTCCTTTCTTCAGGAAGCCCACACAACAATAAGCTTCTCCAGGCAGCAAGGAAGCTTGCACTATCATTGACAAGCGCAAGTACCTCCCAAAAAATTAAAAGTTCTATGCTCACATGGTTAACAAATCTACTTCCAAAAAACAGCCACTGGTATCCAGGATTTCGGTTTGTAAATTTTGCAAGAATAAAGAGAGCTCTTATAACAGCGGTGGATTCAGCTTGAAGTACTAAAAGCTTCCTGCCAAATACATCATCGGTTTTCATTCATGAGCGTCTAACCCTAATAACCGAAATGACTGTCTCTCGCTAGTCCCATTTTAATCAGCTGACCAGAGAACGTCTTCTCTTTCTGAGAAGTGCAGTCTTACTTCGTCATTCAGGACCTGAGGAATAGTATTGCTACTTTTGCAGTCACCCTTCGTGAAAGATCTACTACTGACTTTCTCAACCTGACTATCATTCAACAATCTAGGGATGGATATAAATCTTAGTCTCCTACTATACTCCAGATATATCATAAATCAACATGAGTAAGTCCATACATCTCTCCCCTGGGTTAATATAAGCTCTCACATATTTCTTTTACATGACTCTCATATGAACATCCTAAAAGTAGATATTTTGACATTTATAACAACTAAGAGACTGGTAAAATGAGACCACAAGGAATTGAGCAGAAAAGCAAACAGACACTAAAATGTTATCTGTTCTATATGACTAAAGATAGATCACGCCGTGTTGCAATTCAGTAACATATCTATATCAGTATTCCACATGGAATGTCACTTCCAGGAGAACATTTAGGACAGCACAGACAATGACGACAGAATAGATAAATTCTTACCTGATTTCCCTGATATGTTCAAAGAGTTCGATCGTGTAAATATTGTCATCATCCGCAAAGTACACTATGCCGTCCAGATGATGGCGTTCGATATGCTCTAGGGCAGTGTTACGCTGGTGGACACCCCTGTCTTTGATGTCCGAGAGGTTATTCGCTGCTACAAGGTGCCGGTACATTACGCCCGTCGTCCTGAGCAGCTCGGCAGTCTCTGCAGAACCTTTCTCCATTTCTACAACGATCCACAGGAGAGGAGGCCGGACAAGTCTTAGTGTCTGACCCAACCGGGTCAAGTATAATGCCTGGAAAGCGCGGTTGTACGTAGGGGTGACTACGATGAGCAGATTTCCCGGGGATGGAAGGGATTCTTCGACTTCCTTGGTCTTGGCGCCAAGTCGAATTCTCACGATCCTCCCTTCGCTTGTTTCCGTAGCTTCACCAGCTAGGTAGCTTTGCTTGGCAACATCAGGAACGCCCTTCCCTAAGAGATCTCGTTGCATAGTTGTGCCCGGGTCACGGTCGGCATCGCCGCCGCTACTGTCAGTATTCCGGCGGAAAGGGAAAGGGGCTCCGCTATCAAAGGAGGAGGGGTCGACGGGTCTAATACCATCGAGATGGAAAAATGGCGAAAAGCCAAGCAGAAATCCAAGGACGAAGCATAGTGAGAACCGCATCAATGGTCTCTTCCAAGGTGGCTGATGCTGGGACCACCTACGCGCCGCTTGGGGCAGGGCCGGCTGCCGCTGGGAAAAGACGGCCTTCGCCATTAACCGCCGAAGGTTCCCGATAAGAGAATGGGGAGGAGAACGCTGAAGCGGGGCCGTGGACGAGGAAGAGAGGGGGGATGATCTATGAGGAGGCTGCTGCTGCTGCTGCGAATGAGGAGACGAGGGTTCTTGGCGGGTCAGATCACGAGCAGGGGACAGCGTCCGCCGGATCGACGCCATCGGCGCGTGGAGAGGAAGGAGAGGGGAGCAGAGATGCGGTCCAACCGCGTCATGCCCAGATTGACTCCAGATCGTCGGTCGTCAACCCGCCCACATCCCGGTAGCAGAACCGGCGGGAGAACCGCGTGGTCGGGGGAAAAATCTGTCTGCGTCAAGGGACCGAGTCGAGAAAAGTGACACATGAAATTTTCACTGCTTGAAAGGCCGGTCTAAACGAGTAACCAGGATTAGACTCGAAAGCGAAACGATTATCAACTAAAAAATAACCAGGATCAGCGACGAATCGAGGGACGTTGACTGACTCATGATTTGCAGTTGGGTCACTGATCTAGCCGTAGGTCAGACCTAGAATCATCAAATTTTCCAAATCTCGGTGGATGGTGGCGGTAGGTCTACTCATGCCATCGAAGGACGTCGACACGTTGATGCCGCAGAGAGAGCACCAAATTGATGGCCTATGACTGTTCGCGATGGCGTAAGGGGTATTATATTAATCGTGGGATAGAGGGGCAGAATGGGGAAGAATATTGCAAGCGGATGAGAGGGGTCAAAGGGAAGACACTTAATGCCAAATGTAATAATAGATAGCAGGAGATCTTGCTACGTTGAGACTTGTGGTCATTTCAAGAGAGGAAAATGGTGCTCTCTCCATGGTGGAGTGCTTTTTTCTTTTTTCTTTTTCCTTTTTTCTTTTTTCTTTTTCCTTTTTTTCTTTATTATTTTTTGTTTATTATTATTATTATTATTATTATTATATTTTTTCCTTTTTTTCCTTTTTTTTTTTTTGAGAGGGTGAGAAATAACGGCCTTTTTACCTGTAAAGGTCTCTAGTTCTAAAAAGGCACTTATAGAAGTTTCTTATCAAGTTCAAAACGTATTGAGGTTCCCAAACTTAACATTCAGCACATTGCACCTTAAAAATAGAAAGAGCATGGAAGGAAATGTGCACAATGGAGAAACATGCTCACACTTGGCACATAAGAAAAACCAACAATGCAAAAATCAAAATGTGTAGAAATATGAGAAGAAGACTCTTGTAAGAGAACAAGGATCAACCTTTGAAAGAAGACATCAATTATGTCATGATAATAATATAGATTAGGGTAGTGGTGACAAAATTGAAAAACCATGGATAAACACCCTTGTGTGTGTTTTACCCAATCTCTATGATATGGACTGGATACCTTCCTCTCATTATATAGTAGGGGAACGAGTCGTATGTCCATCTATTTCTCACAAACTTGCACCCCATTGCATGAGAAGAGATATTTTTGAATGTGACCATCTTCTTTTTTTCTAGTGCTGTCTCTCTCTCTCTCTCTCTCTCTCTCTCTCTCTCTCTCTCTCCCCTCCATGGTTCCATTAATTCTATGTTGAGTGTTTATGATGCTTAGTTCAGATATTTTTTCTTCTATGTTTGTAAAAACTAAATACTTTATATTCTTGAAGTGTAAATTAAACTTCACTCTCTTCTTTTGGTAGGCAATATCACCAGTTTGGAAGGTACCCTAGGGATATGGAGTACCAAAATATCAAATATCCTTTGAGGAACACCAAAAGGGTAGTATCTTAATCAGCATAATCATATCATAGGTTTGCTCTCTAAGAATGTTTTGATGTGAATCTTCTTAGTTGTGACACATTGCTTCCAACATCTTCTAAACAAAAAGGTAAAGCTAAAGCATTTTTCACATGAAACAATGCAAAATATTAATTATAAGTTTAAATAAATTACTAGTTTAGGAATTATGTGATGAATTGATGTTTAATTAAATAATTTTATAATTAATGTAATATAAGTATATTCCTGATTTTTAATTCATATACGACCATACTTAATTCATAATTTATAATCATAAATATATGTATATATATGTATATATATATAAATGTGAGCTGAGAATAACCTCCCAAAATATTTTTGAACAAAACCAATCAATACTACTTGGTATATAATAAATAGAAAAAAAGATTTCATATAAGAGATTTAGAGGTAAGAAGTAAAAATTAAGATATATCTAACTTTTTAGGTGCAAATAATTTATCCTTATAAATGGAAACAAGGAATTTTAAAATTTTGATGGAAGAAGTGATGAAGATATATTTTAAAGATATTTTGATATGCTATATCTTATCAAGTATGTAATAGCAATTGTTGTTGAAGAATCAATTAATATCAAATTCATATAAGATAAAGTGATGAAAACACCCTCAAATGAAAATGATTTTCATGAGCCATAATTTCAAGATATATCAAATAAAGAATATAGACATTGTCCTACTCTAGACAGCTTTCCTTTCAATGAATAGAGTTGGTACATATGAGCATAGGTTCAACTTGTTTTAGGTATACTCTAGTGGGTACACAATGGATGGAAGTGACCAGATCGAGGATGTTGGAAAAATTATAGGAGAAATTGCATAACAATCAATTGATTATTTCCATCAAGATTATTGTACTTGGATCATAAGAGGCCGACCTTCTATCCCCCTATCTCTAGTGCAAATCTCTACAATATGCCTCCTCTATCAATAATCTAGAAAAAGCTAAGCCAGGGGGAGGGTTGTAACTTGTGATATTGGTGCCCTTGGAAGACACACCAGTCTCCTGAGGGATGAGCTGTGTGGATGTTAGTCATCACACCCGAAAATTGTCTTTTCTCCATGTATCACTTATCTATTTTAAAATTGTCATACATAGAAAATAGATAGATAGATAGTTAAATAGATTAGATAGATAGATAGATAGATAGATAGTTAGATAGATAGATAGATAGATAGATAGATAGATAGATAGATAGATAGATAGATAGATAGATAGAGAGAGAGAGAGAGAGAGAGAGAGAGAGAGAGAGAGAGAGAGAGAGAGAGAGAGAGAGAGAGAGAGAGAGAGAAGGGTCTCCATTCTTGTCTACCAACACAATGGTAAACACATGCATCTGTAAGTGATATTACACATGGCATCAACTTTGTTCATGAGAGATTAGACATAAACCTTGTATTTTTTCTAAAAAATGTACAGTCCTAACCTATTGTTTACGAATAATCAAGATGCTCAATATATAGTCTTCACCACTATTGGTCATTGTGGTATGGTGAAAACTACTCTATATTTTGCCTCCACTTAGAAGCTTGTGCATATGATAAGTGACAAGAATGACCTCTATGCTCGATAAAAAATGACTTTTATTGTTAAACAAAGAATAAAAGAAACCTCCATTGAGTTATGATTGGGATTCTTTGCTTAGGAGAAGAGGTGCTATGAGTTTAATAGTATCACTTTGGTCATTTTAAACAAAATGATCAAATTTCAAATATTTATAAACAAAATTAAAATAATAATTAAAATTAAATTTTGGTGAATTCAAGTCATCTATAAGGATGATGGTCAGTCTCAATATTAATTTTTCTATTATAAATAATTTATTCAAATAAAAAATACAGTAAATAAATAAATAAATCTTCTTCACATTTTAATTCCTCCAAAATGCTTGAGCTCTAAATCTTCAAATTTTAATGTGTTTCTACGTTGATATTTCTTACTAGTCTATTTTCTTATTATTCTATTCAAGGTTTCCAAAAGACCATCATGAGCTAGAGTCAGTGAAAGTTATAATGTTATAGGTATTGTTTCAATTTTCAAGATTGCCACAATTTTCTGAAACTACAGGTGTTCAATGCTACACATCTATCTTTTTTTAGAATAAGTATAATATACTTGAAACAGTTGTGATTTCTAGTCTTGAAGGTTAGTTTGTGATTAATCTCCTGTTCATACTAATCTAGTAATACATATCAAATAGAAGAAAAGGGCTGGTGAGTCTATGAAATATATGAGATGAAGAGAATGAGAAAGCCTGCAGAGTTTCTGATCACTATGATCTGTTCATTCTTGTATTTGTTGAATTTTCAAATTTGAATGGCTCATATTTAGGATCCTAGTGCCACTAATAGTGAGCAGAGGCTCACAAAAATAAGTAGAGATCTTCTTGATTCCTTTAATGTTAGTAAGTGATTATAATTTATTCTGATCAAATTTTTTAGTTTGAATTAATGTACTAGATATTCTTAATTAACCATTATGTCTTGGAGATAATTTAAGTTTTTTATGGATGTCTCTGAATTGTTGGAACAGGAAGGTTGCCGATTGTTGAACTTGTTGCTTGTATAATTGCAGACATAACATAGAAAAGCTAGGACTATTTGAATTTGGACCTTCATTAATGAATGTAATTATAGTCCTTAAAAATAGCTATGATATTTTATTTTTGAAATTCTTGTTGGTAGGATGATTGACCCGGGTCAAGATTGGCTAAATTATAAAGAAATTGAGTCTTATGTTGATCTGGGTCAATATTGATTGATTCTATATTTCATCTTTCTGTTGGAACTTATGTCGACCAATTGTGATACTTTTGCTGATTTGGGCCAATCCCCCAAAGTCTGATTTGGTCCAGTATATATTTTTTAAAATTAGGAGTTTATCTAATTTTTTCGGATTCCATTTCCCACCATTATGGGGATGGTTTTCTTCTATTAAAGGAAATCATAAGGTGTAGGTACTATCAAGGGTATGGTGATATTTTTTATTTTCTCATTATATTAATGAAATCGAGAGTATATTGTTAAGGTCTGATGTTGATTGTGTCATTTTGTATCCTATGCAACTTTTTATGATCCTTTATTATTCATAAAATTCTATAGAGATCAAATATCTTCTGGGTACACTACTCTAGATCCCCGTTTATGATCATAGCATTAATGTTTTCAATGCATGAGTACTAGTAGAAACTGCAGGATATGGTATGCTATTCTGTCTTTCTTGACTCAGTCATATGTTTTTTTTGCTATCTAATGTTTTCTGTCAGAATTTTACATAAGCAACCTTGATGCGATAACATCTTCTAAAACTTTGAATCATATATTATCTATGTTCTCATGTGGCTTTTGGGGTTGGAGAATTGCAGATTGACAGCTCTGTGAGAAGCAACAAGGGTATCAAAGAGAATACTTTGACCATCCTTGATTCTTCCGGCATTAGGGACAATTGTGACATTCACGATAACAATAAACACCTCTATGCTAGTGTAAAGTTTTATATTTGCTTATTCTATCTATTCCCTCCTATTCACAGAGGAGTCTTCCATCTTTCCCTATAAAAGTCATTTTTTAACTTTTGTCTCAATGAGAATTGATTTGAGAAATATCACTTTTTCCAGAGATTTTCATTTTTAACATATGAGATTGCTCAAGTAGACAGTGTACTAGATTTCCCAATAACGATGAAGGCAGGTTAACTTCTCCTTTTATTCTTTTTTATTATGGTTTTTAATTTTTGATCGAGGTGTTTTCTCATAGGAGTTTGTTTGAACATAAAGATCAAACATAAGATATTCGAGTGATTTTTTCTCATTGAGCTTTGCATTTAGTCATCACAATTACTTCTTATTCATATGAATTTTAAGATATTATTGCCCATATTTTACTAGAGATTAGAGATTTTCATTTCTAATGCACAATGTGGTCTAATTTCAATAGGGTGATCCTATTTTCCCAGTTCTAGACATTCGTCTTTGTGACAGTATACAGAGTTTTATGTAAGCAGGTCAGTTTTGATCAGTTTTCATATGAAAAATAGTTCATACAGTGAAACGTTGACAAACGTTCTTTTGCAGCTTTTGAAGAATATGGTACTGTTCCAATACCTTTTGAATCCCCTGAGGGAATTTTTTACCTCTAGAAACTGTGTATAAAGGTTGCTCTTCTACATCATTATGTGGCATTAGATGAATGTAAATTTATTATTATTATTATTATTATTATTTTCATGAAGATTAAAGCATTCATCTTTCTAATATAATACAGCGACCATGAAATGGGTTTTTCTCAGAGAATCATTGCTAAGCCTGATTCTGGAACTTCACTTGCGTTTATTTATGTTCTAAAAGTTCATCTGTTGTTCCTTAAATCTTGAGGTATTTTCGTTTTCTGATTTTTTTTAAGACCCATTCTATCGTAGTATTAGGGTTGTCAACTTGGCCAGGGCTTGTGAAGAGAAGGTAGAAGATTTTGGTTTTTCTATGGAGCCGACTGAGCCTGTTTCTAGAAGATTGCGTAGTCCTCAATTTTTAACTAATATTTGGGACCATGAAACCCCTTTTTGTTGGTTACTGAGACATAGGTTATCATAAAATCAGGGTTTTCAACCAGTTAAGACTTAGTAATGGCCAGCCAGGGAATGTTTGGTTTTATGTTGTCTCAACCCGCCCTGGGTCAAAAAATGGACCTTTGATCTGAGCCCTATGAACCTCAGGCCCAACCCAACCTGGTTTAATCATCGTTCTGTTCACAATAGTTTCTTCTATAAAGGACAACATGATATTACACTGCAGGAGAGAAACACGATACTCACTTTCATGAAAGGTATTCAAGTTACGCTAAGTGGACAAAGAAGAGTCCTTTCATTTAGTTCCACAGCAACCACATGAGGGATTCATACCTAATATAATAATGATAGCATTGAATCCTGTGGGAAATCAATCCAAGTACATTCCAATATTGTCCTAAATCGGTCATTTTTTTGCTCCTATCTGAGCTTTAAATTAATTAGTTAATTTAAACTCAGAACAGGTTGAAGGTGTCAGTTTCTGACAGTTTTCTGCTTGTCTCAGGTAAATTCCAATCTTAGCTGGTTTCTTATCCATGAGAAGTTTGGAGTCTGGATTTTGAAGTACAAAGCTCTTTGGCCTGTATACATAAACTGTACCACTAGTCGGATTTAGGAGTCCTGCCGAGATCTGTATAATGAACATGTTAGTTCATAAATAGCGCAGGCTTTGCAATCAGATGTTTAATCTTCAGTCTTCCCAAATTATAACGAGATTTTTCATTAATTTTAGTTAGTATATTCTCCTTTTCCATGGTTGTCTTGCATCTATCGTGTTTCATTTATACCCATGGTCTTTAGGACAATGTTTCATTTCCACAGGTATACATATCACTAGTATTAATCCTCTGACGACAAGATACAATCAGGCCTTTGGTTATGAAGGGAAGGGGCTGCAGGGCTCAGTGAGATTAGGCACTCTAGCGGTGAGATTAATGCACGATTCAATGTTGTTTATTGGCTGAACGAAGGCCTCTGGGCCTTGTGAGAGGAGAATATGGAGTGGGAGATTAATTCTTTGCTTCTACCATTTAGAAAAAGCCATAGTTATTACGTTACCATTTTTATCCATAGTAATGCCACCTCCACCGGGGTTTCTTTTAGATCACACGATTTAACTCGAGTTCTTTTGTCGAGAGTGGTGGGAGATCTCATTTATCCCTAGATTTCTTTTAGATCACAGAGTTTGTCGTCTGTTCCTTTCTCCCTGGATTTCAGTTCTGCAGTGATTAACAGACCTTTTCTACCCTTCAATTAGTACGAGTGGGCACTGTCGAATGAAGTATATTATGCTTTAATTACCACAAATTCAAGCGGATTGACCATTTCTGTTCAATATGGCGTCATTAAAAGAACTAGGAACATGGAACTGAAGGGTGTTTCGAATCGATTCAGAAATCTGCGTTCCGTTAAGCTTTGTCTTCCACTACCTCTCCAGGCAGATCATCATGTCCTCGAGCTTAGGGCTGGCTCCCGATTCATCGGTGGTATATCTTCTGCCCTGGTGGACAAAGAATGATCAGCCCAGAGTTTAAGTCCTTGCTTAATTGGCACGCTTCTGCACAATTCCTCGGTGACTGAAACTTGAAATGCTCCTGCTTTGTCGATCAAAGTTTTATTCTTGGTAATCAGTCAGGGGATGAAGAAGTTCGTTTCTAGCCAGAAGCAGTAGGGCACCCAAATTTGTGGGAATTCCTTCCTAGCTCTCGACACCTTGCATATAACCACTAATGTCAATCCTCTCAGGATTTCATGGAGGACTACGAGGTGATGGTCCCATTTCAATCTCTCCAAGCAATCAGTTGCCAAGTTGAACAGTTTGCCCCAACAAGAGGACGGGCGAAACCTGCCCGACGGCCATTCACGACTTCGAAGGCGACCAGACGTACGGTGAAAAGCCCGGCCACGACTTCACCCTGAAGGCTGATCGAGGGTCTGGACGCGGCAAGCTACGACGGGCTCGTCGTCCCCGGTGCCCGAGCCCCAGAATACCTCGCCCTGGATCAGAGAGTCACCGCCATAGCCAAGGATTTCATGGAGAGAGGAAAGCAAGTTGCCTTCATCTGCCACAGACAGCAGATCAAAGATCAACTCTCTTCAAATCTGGGTTCCCTGTACAAGAGAAGAAATGCAGAGTCTACCCCCCTGCGGTCAAGCCAGGCTGGAGCCCGACCCCATCCACCGTTGCTTCACCGACGGAAACTGGTGAGCGGAGCGGCCTGGCCAGGCCTTCCGAAGTCCATCTCCCAATTCATGGAGTTACCCGGCGTCAAGGTATTGTTCTAAGCCGCGAGGCTGATTATACCTCAGTTTACTTATATAGTATACCCTTTAATACCTTCGTCTGAGAGACCCTCCTTTCCGCGACAATCTGGAAGTAATATACACACAGGAATGACTTTCTGGTTTAAAGTATTAATCAGCGATGGCGAACGGAGAATGCCTCCTAAGACTTCCTAAGAAGATCATGTAGATCAGCGGTGGGCATGGTTCAGGCGAAGAGCAGAGTCTGAGAGGAGAAACTGCTGGATCTGTGGGGGGGCATGGGCGGCCTGGGGCCGCCAAGGAAGCCCTGCCGCCTCACCACGAGGGAGGAAAGGGCGGCGGCGCTGCCGCCCTTGGAGGACTTCTTGGAGATGCCCCTCGAGCAGGTCTTGGGCGAGTGGAGGTTGTTGTGGCCGTCCAGCCCGCCGGCGTAGCTCCGGCACGGCTTCATCTTCTTCCTCTGCGGCCTCTCCGGCTTGGCCAGGTCCTCCAGGCACCTCGCCGCCGACAGGCAGGTGAACGACTGCGACTTGCCCTGGAAATGCTTCGACAGCCCCGTCCTCCTGCAAGGAATAAGCCAATTCAGGGCAGAAGAATGGGAGAAAAGGCAGGAAGTGGATCGGATCGGGGCGACCCACTTGGGAGGGAGCTGCGCCGCCAGAGAGGCCATCTCGAAGGGATCCCCCTGCCGATCCGGCAGCGACGCCGCCACCTCGCCGTCGTCATCCTCGGCGAACTCCGACGAGGAGGAGCCGAGGTCGTCGTCGTCGCCTGAGCCGGCCGACGATGAGGAGGAAGAGGGCGTCCCCAGCTCATCCTCCTCGTCTTCCACGGCAGCACCCCCGTTGCCTCGCCGGCCAAAACAATCTTCCATTCTCTCTCCCCAGCAACTCTCCCGCATCAACCATGCAGCTTCCTCTCCGGTCTCCGGTAGCCCAGATGCAACAACTAAAAACCACCGGCACACCGCCTGATCGACCGACCTTCAGAAGAAGCTATAAATATATGCTCTACCCAGCCGACGGAATAAAGGGCGCAACACTCTTAGAGATAGAAGAGAGAGGAGAGAGATTCGACATTATCCGTTGGGTTGCGCCAGTCGGAAGCTGCCCTTTTTATTCTTTTTTCGTACCGGTCGGGGGAAGTGGATAAGACCTCCACGGCTATGGCACCTGCTGCGTCTGTGTCTACGCGCTCTCATCACCGCCCTTGCGCGATTTCCACCGCACCTTTACGTCAGAATTTTTTTTCTTCTTCTTCAATGCTTCCGAGGAACCGACCCGACCCATCTGAGGGATCAGATCATCCCTGTCGAGATCTTCCCAAGATTTGATGACCCCTGGTGATCTCTCGCAGAACTCTGCTGCACCCTCCATGTCGGAAAGTCCTCATTTTTTTGGTTTTTTTAATTAAAAGCAGATTAAAACCCCTTTTTCTCTCTCTCTCTCTCTAAAATTAATGCAGAACAGGTGGCCGTGTCAGGGGGTGTAATCACATCAGAGGCTTGCGAAGCTTTCTCAAGGGGGCGGGTTTAGTGATGGTGGTTAACGTCACGGAAGGCCACGTGGATGGGGCACCTGACTGAACCTCTGGACACATCATGTGGCTGCCCAGATTTGTGGGCCCACTAGGTGGGGGTTTGGGCTTCGATCCGAGCTGATGCTGTCGAGGTTAGTTTGGTCAGCCCATGTGGGAAAGCGTCCAGCACTGGCCCACCTTATTTTCCTGAATTATTTATAATGGCGATATTAAAAAATGGTCTTCAAAAGGGATCCGCCAGATGTGGGCCCGCCGACTGAGTGGCTAGGGAACACCCGCGTCCATAGGGCGTGAACTCTTCCCTTAACAGGTGGGCTGCTCCCGTTAAACTACGAGAGTTAGAGTTACAGAGAGAGAGAGAGAGAGAGAGAGAGAGATGGGCAATTTTGGGGTACTATGTGCCCCGCTGGATCAGCCCATATATTTATCTAAATGGGCCCCCTTCCTAGGTAATAGCCTGTTAGGTCGGCCCAAATCGAACCACCTGTGGAGTCTGGCCTTACTACGTGGTCTGCTGCCTTTGGCTCTTCATAGTAGCGGAGCATACAAAGGCAGAAAATTTAGGTTGTCCGATTTTACTAGTTCCCGCATATAACACCCCTGCGTTTACTGAGACCACCAGCAATAGAATTAGGATTCGGGTTCTACGTCCGATGCCTCCGTTGACTTTCACTGTTTTGAGTTGACTTTGCATGTATGCATGCATACATGCATGGATGCGTATTGGGTGTAGAATGGAAGTTATTGCGGGAACGATCGATTTATTTCCTTTCACTCTTGTTCGTCCGCCGTAATCCCCCAGATCGCGAGGAGACCACCCCCTCTCCTCCTGCCGTCGACGGAGCAAATCAGAGCCAATCGCCGCCGTGTTCTTTGTTTCCATCTTTCCTTCCTTGTTCTTCCTCCGATGGTCATGCGTCGGGGAGAGGAGAGTCCCGCTTGGGGAGCTCCGTCTCTGTGCCAGGGCCCGCCGCCTGCTTCTCCTCTTTCTCCTGCTGCGCCATGGTCTCGTACAGTGGGGTGTTCCTGGTCTCCGGGAGCCAGATCGTGAGGGAGGCGCTGAAGAGCGCGAAGCAGGCGAAGATCAGGAAAGAGAGCTTGGGGGTAACCCGGCCCAGCACGACAAGCTGGGGGGCAATGGCCGCCCCCAGCATCAGCGACTGCCGCAGCACCGACACGGCGAGGTTCCTCACGTTAGTGGGGAACAGCTCCACGCAGTAGATGTAGAGGACGTCGAAGGCCAGCGACGCCGCCATGAACCCGATGGCCTCCACCGTCAGCTGTGGCCAACTTCCCTTCGTCCTCGTCTTGCCCCTGCAAGAACAGCTGGCGTTAATCAGGGATGATGGAAGGGAGGACGCTCGAGCTCAGTGAGCAGCACCTGCCAAGGAAGATGCAGGCGACGCAGGAGGCGGCGGCGGCGAAGGAGGACGAGGAGAAGACGAGTCGGCGGTCGGCGAAGGCGAGGAGGACGCTGCCGAGGAAGACCGCAGGGATCTCCATCAGTGCGTTGACGGCGACCGTGAAGTAGATGTTGAAGTCCAGGTTCTCTACGTTCAGCTGGACCCCATAGTAGAGGAACCCTATTCCGAAACCGGTCAGCATCATCAGTAGCATCCGCTTGATGGCCCACCTGGCGGACCACAGGCTCTCCTTCCCCTCGCCGGCGGAGGGAGTGACGGGATTGGCAATGGCCAGCTCCGGTGACAGTGTCTTCCCGTTCAGCTTCGCCAGTCTGGTCAGAACATCCATGGCTTCCTTGGTCCGGCCTCTGACGGCGAGCCAGCGAGGGGACTCGAAGACGAAGGGCAGGACGACAACTGAGTAGGCCAAGGGTAGGAGGGAGGTGACCCTGTACATGGTCCTCCAGGAGGTTCTCGTGGGGTAGGCGATGGCGGGGAGGGAGAGGAAGCCGACGGTGAAGAAGAAGAACCCGTACTGCCCCACCTGGCCGCGCCATTTCCGGCCGACAGCCTCCGTGGCGAGGACCAGGCAGCAGATGCCTATGCCGGAGCGGGCGAAGCCATTCGAGAAGCGGAGGAGCGCATAGACCCACACGTTGGGAGAGAGCGAGGTGACAAAGCCAGTGACCGCAGTGAGGAGGCAGGACAAGAGGACAGTCTTCTTCCTCCCGAGGTGTTTGTCCGCCAGTCGGCCGTGGACGGCGGAGCCGAAGAGCGAGCCGAGGAAGAAGACGGAAGCGGGGATTCCAGCCCTGAACTTGCGGTCGCAGATGAGCCCCCATTCCGCCACCGTGGAGCTCTTCTCGCCGTCCACCCACTCCCAGGATCCCGGAGCCAGGTGGCACATGGACGGTCCGGGGGAACAGGCGGCGGCGTGGGCCTTGCACCTCCACGCCGGCTGGGCATCGGCGAAGATGGTAATAAGGGTGCCCTGAGAGTCAAAAATCCACGCCAGCGAGACCAGGAAAACTTGGAGGATCTGCGAGCGTCCGAGGGCCCCGACGTGCCCCTCGATGATTTCGTCTACTGAGAGCTCCGTCTTGGCGCCCCCGCCGCGGGGCTCCGCCGGAAGAGCCCCCTCGCGGCTTCCGTGGACGACCAGCTCTTCCATTTCGTTATCCATAGGGGAAAGAAGGGTGGCACGGATGAACAGAAGCTCCTGTGTTACGACGCGCTTTATAACCGTTCTCATCGCCATCTGCGTCACTCTGTCGCTCATCTCCAGACGTCTCACGCCGCCACTGGTGAGGCTTCACTAAGCAAATAACAAACCATTTCTTCTTCTCAGTGATGCCCACAGATGGCAAAAAGAAGAGGTAATGCAGCGTGCCCATGACACTGACCGCATTAAAGGGGGGAGAGGGGAGGGGAGGGGATGGAAACCCTAAAACCCGCCGTTGCCTTCCTCAAATTCTTCCCCGGGGGAGCTGCAGATACTTTCTCAGAACAGAGAAGAACTATCATTGAGATGAAGATCGCCACCACACGCCTCCTCCTCCTTCGAGGACGACAGTAGAATATTCCGCATCACCGGGGGATTCGCGACCAGAGCTCACCGGTGTCCGTCGCATCGACTCCCAACAATATTTCTAAAACAAATGCTGTCTCAGTCATCGCGACTACCGCCAGAGCCGCCTCACTAGTAGCCGCAACCGTGCCCTGGAAATAGCAGCTGCCATTTCCGTCTAGTCTCGGCGGTCGGTGGTGAAAGGGGTCCCGACCCATCTTCCCCATGCAGGGCAACGAGGGGAGTTCGGCTTTTTCCCTAGAGAAGAGCCCGGCTCATGAGGCCCACCTCGACTCTGCCCAACGAAGGACTGGAGGGTTTTGGCTGAAACTCTCTCTCTCCCCCTCTTCTCGTTCTCTCTCATATCTTCTACGGCTACTGCTGCTGTTGGAGTTCTCATCCTCTATAGTTTCCTTGGTCCTTTCGTTTCCTTATTTCCGACGGCTGCCATTGTAGGCACATCTTATGTCTGTATGAATGAGGCTGCATCGCCCCGGAGACGGTCAAGACTCAATTCCCTACACAATAAAGACGACGAACATCACAAGTAGACGTCGTTCCCAGAGCCGTCGACGGGTCAGCCTGGGCCTTATCAATTCCAGCCTAGGCCTAGGCACATCCCAAAGCCAGGTGATATGCCCACTTTGGCCCAGCCGGCCCAATCACTAGTACTTACCCATCCATCTAGTTAAGTTGTGCAATTTTTTCCCGTCGGCCTGATTACGAGAATCGGTCTATTCTGGCAGGTTATCTTAATCGGCTAACGGGGGCCAGTGTGTTTCTGAATTTCCAGTCAAAATTGGGGTCTACTCACCACCGGGGACCGTGTGGTGGTGGCATGCTGCCATGGCGGTGCGATGGCGGTGGACCCAGGCTACACATCAACCAACTTAAACAACTTATTTCTTGGAGGGTTAAGTTTGTGAAGTAATGATGAAAATAATTTTAATTGTTGAAATAATTAATTTTGATAAATAATTATGATATCTTCTTACCTTTTTTCTTAGTAATTTCTAAATAATCGGTTAGTGTTTTAATTAATAGAATACCAATTATTAAAACATATTTTGTACAAGTATTAATGCGATTGTTTATTACTCCAACGCATTTCCTTATAAACATTTTTGTCAAAAAAAAGTTGCAACTATTGACGACCACTTTTAGCACCTAGAACAAGCGAAAATGGCATTTGACCCTGATCCGATTTGTCAAATTTAGTAGTCGTGTCGGGGCTCCATTCAAGCACTTCATCATTAACTAGTGTCAAAATTTTGACTAATGTTGAAATTTACATTTTGAAAATTACGTTATCATATCATAAACAAGAACTACTTTTCATAACAAATATTATCCTGACTTTAGACTTTATTTTTAATTATTGGAGGTTTTTTTGTTACCAAACCCTCCTCTATGTTGGGTTCCACAGCCTATATGAACGACAGCCCTTTTCATACTGGATATGCATCGAGGTAGCGACTCTAAGAACGATCTGTCCTCCTATGGGTGAAGCTCGTCGATCTCAAACAGGTCTCATGGAGCCTGATAACTGCAACAGAACTATTGAAAGTAGCATCAATTACAACTGACCCGCGTTAATTGAATGGTGACCCCACAACATCTCGTCCCACGTCAGTGAGACAGAGAAAGAAAACTTGTTAACGGCACCGCAAGACGTGCCGGGCACCTTGCGCTGCTGTGGTGTCCGAGGGGCCGGCGAGGATCGACGGATACTGCTCTCGGTACGGCTCCGGACTGTGGGTTCGTCACGAAGATTGGTTAACAGCGAGCACGATTCTTCTAGAATGGCAACTGTGAGTTCGTCATCATCAAAACCATTCCATAGAGTCTATCGACTTCCACCTGCCTCTCTTGGGAACCTGGTGCCGGTGTCCCCCGGCCCCGATCATAGCGTGCAGTATTACGACCGTACTGTTACATTTATTTAACCGACCAATAAGGTTTCAGGGTCTTATGTTGCTTTTAATGTTCTCACGCTGAGCCAGGGAGAACTGTGGGCTAATCCTGCCCTTTTATACCCCTGTTTGGAGACTGAATTCTCAAGTGCATAAATTTATTGATTGAAATCCCTAGCGAACATCAGTTTCAAAGATTATTTAACTCTATAGTTAGCTACCGTTGCAAAATTTCAGTGGAGTATATACTGGCAGGAGCGCCGACGGTGATCTATCCTCGTGGGGATGGAGCGAACCGATTCCACTTGACGTCCTTTATCAATATACGAAAAGTTGAGAAGAACAACTGAGCCAGGGAAAACAAAGGAAGCTATTTTAACAGTGGTGGCTGGTCTTATTCCAAGGACTCATCAGACACGACTGATAACTAGCGACCAGTAAAGGACAAGAGGCTGAGGATGAAGAAGGCGTGAAAACAACACGAGGTGGTTGATTACAACAACACTCACTTATTTAGTGCTTTAGAAAGCTACAGACGGACCCCCCCTCTCCAGACAACGAGCAAGCCACACCAGGAACAGCGCTGAGGGAGGTTGCCAGCCAGCCATGGACGAGGACTAATGCTTTGGGCATGGCTTGATGCAGTGGCAGCTACGGAAAATGATACCGCGACACTCGCCCCGGACGAAACCTTCCGTCCTGCAGATTACTGAACAGTTCGAATGGCTCCCGCAGCGCCCCTTGAACCTGTGGCTCGGCGAGCTACAGACTCTTCCTATCTGGGACGGTTCCACTGTTTGCCCAACGTCCCGAGCAGCACCTACATACACAGAGTAGATTAGTAGGATGGCACAGTCTAGGGAAGCTGCCTCAGGGTTCATCAGCAAAAGTAGAGGCTCAGTAATTCTTCGTGGATAATATAAATGGAAACCTTAAAATTAAGGACAAGAGAGTGGAGCGTATAATCTTTCGAAAGAATCCCATCGTCCGGTTCAAAACCGGCTGATTCATGTTTCGTTTCTCTCTAAGTGCGTTAGAATAATTTCTCATGTCGCAGTCGTACAAGAATGAGTGTGGTGCTTCGTGATTCTTCTACGTTCTGTCTTGTCAACAACAGAAAAATCAAAACAATGAAAGGCTAGGGATTGGAGCTTCGATATCAAGCAAAAAAAATAAAATCGTTCAACTTGAAATCAGATTGTCTCTCGCTCACGCATGCAAGTCATTAGTCGGGTCTAATCTGCGTGGATAAACAAGTGGAGTACCAGCGGTGGCGAACAGCGGAAGGAGTATGACGAGAAGGAGGATGGTAGGCAGTACCCGGACGGCAGCCATGGGCGAAGCAGGCAAGGAAGAACGAGAGAGGACAATAGGAAGAGCGAGAGAGGAGGCAGGCTAGGGCTCGACTTATATAGGGAGTAGAACGGATTATTATAGGCTTGGTCGCATCTGGGTTCTCGATACGTGGATGCCACTTGGTGCAAATGTTTATCCATATTACTGTTCCAACACCCTTTGAGGTCCGGAAGTACACACGTTGAAGGGGGATACTGGCCAGTGATCTTCGCGTCAGTCGGGCAGCTATGAGGGAAGGCCGACAGCTCCACGTTCACAGTTTGACCCGATGCTTGCATTTGGCCAAATATATGAGTTTTGGGATCCGAACACGAGATCGGCATCTGAGCCTCACTAAGGATGCAGGTTCCGTGCTTAGGTCAAACAACCCCTCCCAACCCCCCTTCCGCCACCCCCCCACCCAACACACACCTTTCTCTCTCTCTCCCCAGTCCATATACGATGATGAAAACATTTCAGACGAAGATCGGATGAACCCACCCAACAGATTACCGAAGTAATAAATTCCACAGATATTCGTGCGGCCAATTAGAGAACTCACTAATTTTATGTTCATATTCTTATTTTGGCCTTACGCAAACTCAAACATAGCAGGACAGCTGATCAAGTTCCATTAATACTTTGCCCGTTTTTGAATTTATAAAAGGCGTGACCGTGACGCTTCTGATGAGGGTTGTGAGGTCGAGGTGGGAAATAATCTCCTAGATATTGGTTTCTTTTTGGAACCTCTATAATGATTACTGACTTACAACCCCCCTGCTTGCAGGACCCTCGTCGGATTACGGACTACTCGATATTTTGGTACCGTCCGGAGACAGAACGAAGTTAGTTTGGCCGATGTGTGGTATCAAACTCTGACTGCGGACCTCATGAAGGTTATACCATTTAAAAAGATGGACTCACTCAACGCGTCACCAATTAACCTCAACTTGGTGCGTGCAATAACTTTAATTTCTTCTTGTTCTCGAGATCGCCTTTTCTTCTTTTTCTTCTTCTCGATTATTTTGATTGTAAATAGTCCAGTGTCATGAGTATTCTCGAGTGGCAACCTGCAATGAGGTTGTGAAGGACGCTTCGGGGGGATATCAATTCCCAGATAGCCATAACGCCAGCCGGAGGTCAGAATGGACATGAAGAGATTGGTTGAGGGAGAAGGACAGAGGGGAATGAAAGCGTTAGTTGGTAAGCGGAGCAGGAAAGTAGGGAACCAGGGAAGCGGTACGGGCTTTATCGTTCCAGAAACCATCCATATCCAGGTCTAACAGGCTTGAGACTCATTGACACAAGAAAACAACATTATCTCCGTAAACCTTCGAGGACACGACTCCGCCAGCTGTTGCCTCAAGGTTCATTTGGCCACTAAGGGCCCTATCTTGTCTGAGGGCAAGGGCAGCGGACATTGTTGACATTTTGGCCGAGCTGATAGAGGACGATTCTAGAACTTGCGCGGCCCCACAGCGGGGTCTACGCACCCACCCTCTCTCCCTAATTTCCACTTTGTCTTCTTCCTCGTTCGTGTGTATCAAAGTCGAAAATGTCTTTTCTTGTTCAAAACTTCACGTCAAGTCATCACAGGAAGATTGTACTCATTTAAGTTGCATTAGTGTTTTCGTGGATGAGTGAGCCGATGACTTGAGTTAACGCAGTCCATTGACCTGGCCCTGACTCGTCATTTCTTTCCAAGTCGGGACTAATGTCCGGCGAGAAAGGCAATTGCAATTCGGAATGAAATCAACAAATTGCTTCTTGGCAATAGGTTCTTGAAAAAATGATGTGGATGTTTACTTGTGCTAATTAGCAGTGAGAGCTATGAGTAACAAGATGATGAGCGGGAAGATTGGGAAGCTACCCATTGAGAAAGCCTTTCTGAAGAAGAGGAATCTAGATATATATATATATATGTATATATACACACATACACATTTATATATATATATATATATATCAAAGAGAAAGAGAGAGAGATGATAGTTTAGGCCGGAGTGAAATAGCTTTTTTTCTTAAGGATCTATTCTTCTTCCACTTTTGTGTAATTTTAAGTGATCAAGATAGGACTTGAGGGCAAAGTTGAGTGTCCAAGATTGAGTTGCAAAAAGTGAAGTGTTGGAGATCAATCTACTCAGAAAACCACCAGACCTTGGCGACAAATAGAGGCCCAAATTGAGTAATCTTCTTCCCTTTACTTACTTGTCTCCTTTCCTTCTTCTTTTAAGGTAAAACTTAAGGTTCTAAATAGGTTGTTAGTAGTTAAATTATCTCTTTTCTGACTTCGACCATTATTTTTTGTCAAAACATTTTCAAAACTATTTTTCTACAACCCGTCTAAGTTGACTTAGGGTTTCCTTCATTACATCCATTTCACTCATATTCCTCATCTCCCACTCATCTACTATTTCTCTTTCTCTCGTCCATCTTTTAGTCTATTTCTTCTCATTACTTACGATTTTTTAAGATCATTAGCCTTCCTCCATGTGGTTCGACTTCTGTCTTACCCTCTTTGCTCAGTAGATTAATTAAGATAATAAAAATATAACTATTTTGCATAACTCCACTTAAGACCTACGACATACTTTAGGGTTATCAAATGGTGCTGTTGAGAGAGTATTTAGAAAAGAAACATTAATACACCGACTGCTTGATTATGTTTAATGTTTCAACATGTTAACATAAGGTAATGTAAGATGATGAACAATACGTCTGTCTCAACAATACCATTGATAACAGGCATAGGCATAGTGCACCGACTTCGATCGTCAGACGGAGGTTTAACTGGCCAATAAGATATAATAACAGTGACCTACTGAGGAGGCTGCACGGTTAAGAGCCCCAATTGTCTTGACATTTTAACGGAGCTGATATTGTGCTGGGTGGGTGGACAAGTCAAAATATAGCAAGGAAAAATGTATTTTTCTGTCTCTCTCTCTCGCTCTCTCTCTCTCTCTCTCCGGTTTTTTCTGTCTTTTCCTGTTCACAGCTTTAGGCAAGGTCAATAATGGGAAGATTGTGCACCGTCGAGTTTTATTGGTACTTCCGTGGACTGGTGAACCTTTGACTGTTGTAAAGGTTGTCGGCAGAGATGGCCCTAAGTCAGCAGTCGGGTCCGCCGTGAATAGTGGCTACATCTCATATTCTATGACTTCTGCGGCAGGCACGCCCACCCACACGAGGTTCTACGAAGGATGAGAGAGAGTGGAGTCGTTGCCGCAGAGGAACGAGACATGATATCAAATGGAAATTACAAATATAACCAAAATACAATTTGTCACAATATAAATGAATAAAATCTCAAAATATTTCTCAAACCACAATCTTTTCTTATGAACTGAAGAAACATAGGTCAGTGACGTCCTCTCTCGGGGAGGGAGAGTGTGAGTGAGAGAGAGAGATGATTGTTATTCTTGAGTGCCCAAAATCATGTAACGGGCCATATTAAAGGGCCCAAAAAGCTGAAAAATGTAAAGTGACTTTTTCTCCTTCTTTTAGGAGAAGTTAGAGCTGGGGGAAAGAGACAGTCAGTAGAGAGTCATTTCGAAATCAAGGGTTTTTGAAGCTTTATGGATAAGGAAAACTGTTTCAAGTGGAGTTCTAGGGGTTGAAGAAAAGAGGAAGAGGCATGCCTTTGTACTCTTCCTTATTGGTGTTCTATTGCTTCCAAGGAACCTTGTCTTCAAGCTAGTGAAAGTAGGTTCAAGAGAATCATTGCTCTTTCATCTGTCTTCATTTTTTATCTCCTTTTGTCTTGATAGTAGAAATAAGAGTTTCAACTCTGAACCACAATACATTTTATTACATGTTTGTTTTATATTTAAGGTGATTCGAATCAGTACTTTATAGGTATGTGTTTACAATATCGAGTGCTTAGTTTCTTTGAAGATATCTCGTAATATCAAGAATATAGAAGGTATTAATTCGTTGCACTTGTGACATTTGATATATTTTCTGTGTGATATAATCTTCTACACAACCACAAATATATTTGGCATCCAAATTATGTTTTCAGATATTTGGATCAGAATTTGAAATCCTTTTTTAGTGAAAAGCCTCAGGGAAACTTTAAAGATTTTTCTTTAAGTGAAATTAGTCACACGGTCTCCAGGTCCGAAGGGATCCAGTGCCCAACTACCGACTCCTGTCGGAATTGCGTTATTGGAGCCGACCCTCAGACAATGTAATGTTCTGAACACTCCAGTTTTCAGTTCAGCCCCCTTCTCCCATGGGGAGTCACATTTAAGCTGTGATTTATTTTTAGAGTCCTACTAACTGTCACAACAGATAAAAGCGTCGACAACAAGCCTTGGCTTGGCGAGCTTATTATGGGCCAAACCCTACCCAACCCAACACCTTGTATGACTTATATTTTGGCTTGGTAAGGTGGGTGTGAAACCTTTCCCCAGTGGAGAGGAAACTCAGTTTGGACTTGGTTCATTGCTGGCCCTAATCATTTCGTGCGCTCAGTAATGACAGGACCTTGCGGGCCGTAACATGGTGGTGTTAATATTCAACGATCGAAGGATTGCCCAATGTACCTATGAAGAGTACCCAACTCCCTTAATACAGTCGATGAAGGAAAATATTACCTATATTGGTCGACCACAACCCACTTCAATTCTGAAATATTCTTGTAATCATGAAACTAAATTACTCTAATAAAAAATATCCATATTACTATATTCTCCATTGGAAGATATTTTATAATTCCAACCTTCCGCAAGGCAGGGCTTCAAAGATTATGTTAACTGCTAAAAAAATCGTTTAGCTTTATCCATTTCTCATATCTCGGTGGATACGTTGGAGCGACAGAGCTAGCCGATTTAAAACGCAGATGGAGTAAGATAATTGGATCTGGGTACTGAGCATTTAAAGTAGCAGAATCTATTGTTGACTGGTGTTTATTAGACGGAGTCAACAAGCTACGCACACAAACTCGGGAAAACTGTGAAAGAAGGGGTTGTTGATGATAACTACGACAACACATTTATTTTGATACTAGACCTAACTCGAGCGGGCCATTTAACGACGCTGCAGGATCTGACAGGTGGGCGAAGATTGATCGTTACTGCTTTGCACACCGTTTGATGCAGTGACAGCCAGGGCGAAAGATGCTGCGGGATGCTGCTGATGTGAAGCCCTGACACAGGCAGATGGTGCTGCAAGTTCTTGTCGCTTGTACAAACCCCATCAAACCAAATGATCTCCGAGATAGGCATAATCAAAGAGTCAGAGAATTATATTAATCATGTGACTAGTAAACAACTAATTCATACGTACTTCTAATTTCACCTGAGGTGATCAACTGTGGTGTAGATGGATGGGGTAAAGTGATTGCTTGTTATAGCAAAAACTCGCTAAGAAATTACGGAATGTCACTTTCACAGTCTGTACAACGTGAAGTAGTAAAGAAAAAAGAGATCAACTCACAGTAGATGAAAACAAGAGTATAAGATAACTCTAAACAAGAACCCAATATTATGACCTTGGAAAATGTGTCACACGTTAGTCATTTTCCTGACGGACGATGGCTTTCCTCACTCTATCATTAAATGCAGGCATTTAATGGATTGACTGAAAAGGCGAGCCACAGTAAATAACATTACGAGTGGTATTCAAGCCATGTGAGAAATAGATAGTAAGCTTGAGAGACGAGGATGGGGGGAGGGGAGAATGCAGAATGCGAGAGAGAGAGAGAGAGAGAGAGAGAGAGAGAGAGAGAGAGAGAGAGAGAGAGAGAGAGAGAGAGAGAGAGAGAGAGAGAGAGAGAGAGAGAGAAGAACCGGCAGAGGGGTGTGGGGGAGGGTGCTATGCTGGGCCTGTTATATAAGGAGAAGAACGTGTTATTACGGAGTCTGTCTTTTCTCCGGTTTTGGATTGCAGGTATCAGTGCCGCTGTTGTGTTGATTCCTTAGTGAGTGAAGGCTGCACGGAAAGGCTGGCCAAAGGCCTTGTGAGTTGGTCTTCAGTGAGCCGGCTAGAGCAATAAGCCAGTGGGTCCACGTTCACATCTTCAACCACCGCGTGGAATCTGGCAAATGGATGGGTGCCATGGGTCGTAGATTGAATTTGGATGAAGACCCTAGTGAGGATCATCGTCCTCCACTCAAGTCAAACCTCGTCCTCATTTCCCGACTAATGTTCCCCACTCCCTTTTGCATTTAACTACTAAAAACTTTGAAATCATTTTTGACAGTGATAGGAATCATTTAAATCATTTGAAATCTACGTTAAACATGTGAATACAATGGAAATAAGACCCATAATGCCCACTGTAACATGCCAATTGATCATTTTTAATGTCAATCCCAATTCACATTATTGATGCTAATGTTTACACGAAAAATAAATTGATGGTCAATGTTCTCTGTCACATCCAAGCTGTGGATTCAAGTTCGTCGTCAGTCTCCATTCACCCACCAGTGAGTCTATTAGGCTATATGAATAAGAATGGCTGACTCGTTAGGGGATACAAAGATCACCTAGGGTATTCTTCCCCTTTACATCAATCTCCATCACTCTATCTCTTTTTGCTAGGAAGGCTTGCATTAATGCATTAATTTTAGATGATAATTAATGTTAAATGTTAATAAATATTAATTTTATTATGATTAAATATCATCAAATTAAATGAAAACCATTCGATAGGAGTATCAGACTCTCTATCCAGCCGTCACACCCTTACTGTCACATCCCAACCCTTGTCGTCACCGTCATGGGTGCCATCACTGTCCAGCCACGACAGCTAGGGTTTTGCATGTCTCACGACAAGCCAGCAGGTGGTTTTCTTCTAGACTGGCCTAGCTGGACCCACTGACCCCACGCAGACCCACAGGCCTAGTGTGGCCCAGCTGGCCCCAGCTAGCTTTGCCAGGCCCCGCCGACTCTGCCTACCCCTCTAAACCGACTTGTTGGGCCCCGACTTGCTCACCCCATCACCTACTCTTTGGGCCTAGACCCTCCGATCTCATGGCGTCGTCTCACCCTCCTCCATAGCCTACATATTAGCTCTCTGAGCTTCTTTCCGACTAATGTTCTCCCTTCTCCAGCAGTTCCTCCAACTCGCCACTCCATCACGATGCAACTTACTTGGCCAGTGTACATTTTCAACGGCTATAATTATGTGTCATGGGTATCTAGCTTTGAGCTCTTCTTTAGATCTCACACTCCTTCAACTCTTAGAGGACCTACTCAGCCTTTGAGACCCCTCGTATGCGACATGGTCGCAACTCAACTTGACTGTCATCACATAGATGCTTCAGAATATTGAGCCTAGCATTGCTAAGTCACTAGCACGCATCACCTCAGCCTGTCTTCTATGGCTCACTAAAGAGACTATGTACACCAACAAGACGAGCATCGGTCACATTGTGGAGATCTTCGATTTTCTTCTCTTGCAAACAAGGTGATCTCTCTCTTCAGGCCCACTATGGTCACCTCTAAGCCCTCATCTAGGAGGTTGATATCTATCAACCCTCTACTACCGACTTCTTGATCTTCTAAGCCGTCATCTCAGTAGATTTCATCTGTCAAGTACATCCTAGATCTGAGGGTTTGTTCTTTCTAGGGATTGTGTGCTTGATCTCGCCTCCATCTTCTCGGTAGTCTTTCGGGTCACCATTAGTATGTCCATCCATTCCTCTTCCTTTCTAGGCACCACCCTTACTCCTTTGACTCTTGTTATTGTTGCTCTGCGGCTCTAAATGATACAACCCTTCCCTCTTGCCTTAACAGTAGTTGTACTTCACGTGGATGTGAACATAATACTTTTCCTCCATGTTCCTACTATAGAAAGTAGAATCATCTGGCTACTAAGTGTTGGAAGTAGTTTGACAAGCCTGCTTCTGCACAGTCAACGATAACTTCTCCGACTCTAGCATCCCCACTCTATCCCATGTTTCAGTTCTTACCTTCCATGTGACCTTGACGCCTACAGAGTATGTTGCTCTTTGACATGCCAATAGTATTGATGCTTCTACCTCTGTAACTCTCATCTCGCTTTCGGCCTCCTCCATGTTAGGTACACACATTCTCTTTCCTTTCTCTTCGACGTTGTGGATTATCGATTTAGAGGCCTCCACCCACATGACTCATAACCAATATTTTTACTATTTTCTCTTCCTATCAACTTACCCTGACCCATCCCCATATCACCATTGTTGATGACTGGACTTATTCGGTCAAAGGTCATTGTGCCACCTCAGCTTCTCTTTCTCTTCACCTCACCTAAGTTCTCTACATTCCTTGTTTTCTTACTAACCTTCTTTCCATCAATGTTATTATTCATGCCTTTCTCTATATAGTCAAATTCTTTCCCTTTCATTGTACTTTCTAGGATTTGTATATTAGACAAAGGATTAGTTTGGGCTGTGAAAATAGGCAAGGTGTTTACGAACTCATTTATGACAAATTCTCATCTGGCCTTCGAGCTCTTTTTGTCACCTCTACGACTACTTCTCTTTTATAGCATCACTGTTTAAGCTATCCTTATTTTTTTAAGTTACAAAAAATCTTACCGTAGCTTTCTCTCTCTAAGTTTATGTGCGAGTCTTGTTTAGCAATGCAAATATCACCATACTTCTTATCTTACTTGTGATGAGATCCTCTCTTCCTCTCCCTTTGACCTTCTCCATTGTGATGTATAAGTTACATCTTGTACTTCATCTTGGACCATCATTATTACATCATTTTTGTTGATGACTTCACTCGTGTGAGCTAGGTCTACTTCCTCTATGACCGCTATAAACTCGTTATCGTGGTTACCCACTTCATCACCAAAGTTATCACCCAATACACCAATATGTCTAAGATTATTCATATTGATAATACTTTTGAGTTTGTTTAAGTATTTCTCCGCACCTTCAATAATGATTGTAGCATCCTCTACTAGACCATCTATCCCCACACTTTGTAGTAGAATGATGTTATCAAGTACAGACATCATCAGCTCCTTGACATCACTTGCATACTTCTTCTTGAGATAAATGTTATCCACTATCTCTAGATTGATGCCCTTCTAACTACCACTTATCTCTAAAATTAGCTTTCTATTATTCCTCTTGGGGGGTCATTTCTCTTCATCGCTTAATCTTTGATTCTTCTTTTTTTTTTCTTTCCCCTTGGGTCTTTAGATGCACTATCTTCATCTAGGATTCCTCTCCTTCTCTTTCTAAACTCGTCCCTCATGCCCTT